ACTTTGTATGTTATGTTAAACAATCAACAAAGAATTCTTTAAAAACAGTTCTAATGTAATATGATTATTGCTTATTTTCCTTAGAAAAAACTCATAATAAGTTCGTTTTACATAAAGATTTAAAACCTGAAAATATGATAATTGGAAGAGAAAGTGAAAATCATATGTTATATTATTAAATTATGGAAGGCATATTAGTTTTAAAGTGGATAAACATTTGATAGGGACTACAAGATATGTATCTATTACAGATCATATTGGGAACAAAATATGATTTATAATCTTTGGCTTATGTAATGATTTTTATTTTAAAAAATGTCTTCCATGGTAGAATTTATAAAGTTTAAGTGAAAATGTTAAGAAATATTTTTTTTAAATAAAATTAATTAAAAGACAATAGAATAAGCGAAGTTAAATAAAGAGCAAAAAATCGAATATTATTTAATTGTAAAATATTTATCTTATATAAAAAAGTTAATTTTAAATCATAATACGATTATAAATAGATTAGAAGTTACTGTAAATGCTAAATATGGGGAAAATTATTGGGATTATAATGATTCATATTAATAAAACAATTAATAAAAATAATCAAATTTATATATATAATAATTATAACTAAAAGATAATAATAATTAAGTTTAAAGTTTGTTGTTATTACTTCTGATTATTTATTGCTTACTGATAAAGAAAAAAATGAAATAAAAAATGTAAGTTTAACTCACTCAGTTTCTATAAGATATTTAATCAAAAAAAATATAGTAGAAACCATATATTAATCACTTACTAATAAATATTAATTTTTATAGATGAATAGATAATATTCTAATAATGAAAGTAAAATTAATTTTGATGAAGAATATAAAAAAAATGCGACGAATTCGTCTATCAATACTAATGAATATGAGACGGATAAATATTACAGGAATATTTAAATATTATATATTAAATTGTAGCATTTAATATCAATTTAAGTTAATGCGTATGTTTTTTCTTTTTTTTTATGTTTTTATTTTTTTAGAAATTTAAAGGATAAATAAATTTATAAAATAAATAAAATCTGTATTTTATTTAGTTTATATAGTCATTAATAATTTTTTTTTTATTATTATTAAAAAAAAAACTATCCTAAAATAAAAATATTTTATAATATAATAATTATAATAATTATATATTATAAATAATATAATATTTACAATGAGCTTATATAATATATAAAATTATTATAATCTTATATATAAATTTTTATTATTAAATATATTACTTATTATAAATAATAGTTATTATATATAAATATATACATATATATTCTCATATTAGTATATTTATTTTATAACATAAATAACAAATGTTTAATAAATTAAATTTTTAATAAAATATCTTTATTTTAAAATATAAATAAATACCTTAATTTAATATTAAGATTAAAAGATTATAATTATATTAACAAATAAAATGATAAAATGAAGAAACTATAAATATAAAAAAGAACTTATAATCTTTATTAATTTAAAGTATATATTAAATTTTTAATATTTGCCTATCTTATTTAAACTAATTATTTTTATTATCATAAAAATTAAAATAAATAAACATAAAAAAAATTATATAAAATAGTATCTTTTATATTTATAATAATTTAAAGACATTTACTGTTTGTAAACAAATAAATATATAATTAACATAAAAATTACATAAAGCTCGATTAGCTCAGTTGGTTAGAGCATGCGGCTGTTAACCGCAAGGTCGAAGGTTCGATCCCTTCATCGAGCGATTTTTTTTATTGAAATTATTTAAAAAAAAATATTGTTATTTTATTTAAAAATTAAAATAATTTTTTTTTAATTATATTAAAATATTTAATTATTTATATAAAAATATATATATAATAGTTAAAAATAACATATAATTTCAAAACATATCTTTCCAAAAATCTAATAAACCTTATTGTTTTTCTTCGATTTTTAGTTCTTCATATTCTTAACATTTGAAATCAATAATTAACTAAATATTTTCTATATTTTCTCCATTTTCTTTCTTTTTTTAATTTAATTCATATATCTTTGCAATATCATTTCTTATTATTGATTATATTATTTATTCATAATCCTAATATACACATATCTTTAAAGGAAATTTAAATTCATAACAATAAATTATAAAGCTATAGATTTCTTAATAATTAAATTTTTCTATATAATTATTATCAATTCCTTCTTACAAACAATTTAATAATGACGAAAAAAGGTTTTATAAAATTTATAAAAAATCTAGTTTATTTTTTTAAATATTTTCTAAATTTTCTTATAATTCTTGCTATTCAAAAATATCTTAAATTACTCTTTTTTAAAATATAAATTAAAATATTTATTGAAAAATAAATTTACTATATTATTTCTTTTGGAGCTTTTATTTAAAAGGATTCTTAATTTAAATAACAGAAATAGAAAGTTTTAATTTATATACAACTTATTAAGAATCCTAAATGAAAAAGACATTTTTAAGCATTTTATTTATCTATAGACATTAATTTTGTTAGGATTTTATGGCCTTAAAGTAATTTTTATATATAATTATTAATATTTTAAAAAAGAAATTTTGATAAATTTGCAATAAAAATTTCTTATGTAATAATTTGTTAGTTATTATTTATATTATATTCACTCGGATCTTGAATAATAGGTTATAAATCTAAAGAATTATCTATTAAATTAAATAGATTATTTTAATTTGATTCTTACTGATTATTTATGTTACCTTGGTTTGTTATAATATTATTTTATTATTAATTAATTTGATTATTATTATCTTGATTCTATTTATTTTCTTCTAAATAGCTAGAACTATTTAATTTGAACTAGAAATCATTCTAATTAAAAACTTCTTATTGCTATTGCTCATTATTAACTTACGGAAAAATATTAAAATACTAAGTTTTGTCCTCTTTAGAATATTTTTTTAAAATATTTTAAATATATTTATCTTCATTAAAACATTTATAAAACCACGATTAGTAAAACATATCAGTCCAATCAATTCTTTAATTAGGATCTAACTATAGAGTTTTTTCAATAAAAGCAATAGCATCTAAACTTATATTTGAATCATATTAAATATCTCTTCCTTTAATTAACTCTTTCAATTCATTAAAGCCACCACTTTTAGGATAAAATGGAGGTTTTCCATATAACATCTTTTATATAAAATTTTTAATTAAAAATAATATATAAAAATACTTAATAAACAACACAACCAAAAGACCAAATATCACATTTATGATCATATTGTTAGTTAAAAATAACTTCCGGAGCCATATTAAGTGGTGTGCCTACAAATGTAGAATTTAAATCAAAAGAAGATTTAGCAAATCCAAAATCTGCCAACTTGCAATTTAATGATTTATTTACTAATATATTTTGCAGTTTCAAATCCCTATGGATTATTTTATTATCATAAAGTTCAACAAATGCTAATAAAATTTAATATGAAAATACACATGCGAGTTCTTCAGGTATCTTTTTTTCAGGAAAATTATTATTTATATAATTTTATAAATCACCATTTTCACAATATTCAGTTAAAATATATACATAATTTCCTTCTGTAAAATAATCGAATGCTTAAATTATATGAGAATTATTTAATGATTGTAAAAGTTGAGTTTCTTAATCAATATTTTAAAGTATTATGTTTTCTCTTCTTTTATCTATTTATTTTATTGCATATTCTTTATTATCGTTTAAATCTTTACATTTGTAAACTCGAGATGTTACTCCAGTTCCTAATTCATCTTCGTATTTGAAAATATATTTATTTTTTAAAATCATTTATTTTTTTATTAAGAAAAAAAAAGGTACTAATTTTATAAAAATTTAAAAAAATAATATATTATTAAAATTACATTATATTTTTTATATTAATAAAAAAAAAATGAATACAAGTTATATATATTAATTGCATTAATGTCAAAATTGCCCTTCCTAACTAATTGAATCAGGTATAGTTGAAATTAAATAATAGTCTTTAATATGCACTGAGTGTATTAAAAAAGAATTTGACTTTTTTTAAGAAACATATGAAACAAATTAAAAAGAAATATAATATTTAGAAGGATTGATAAAGAATTTAGATAATTAAGATTATAATTTATTAGATTCAATGCAATAAAAAGAAAATTAGTTAGATTTGAATATAAAGGAAAGTTAAGAAACTTTAAATTAGTTAATTGAAAAAGAAAATCAATTAGATATATAATATCAAATGCTTTTTTAAAACAAAGAAATAGATGTAAATGAAGAAAACATTCTTGATCTTGAATATTAAATATAAAATGAAATTTAAAGGAAAAATAATATTTAAAAAAAATTAAACAATGCAAATTTTTAATTAGAAAAATTAAATACTCTTATTTGTTTATAAAGTTCATTTTAAATAAATATAAATAATAATTCTATTAATAATTACATTATTGCTTATCCTAATCTTTAAGTAGAATAAAAATAAAAAATTAAGCAATCTTATTATTATTTTATTTTTTTATAAAATATAGAATTATATTTCAGTTAATTGTGCTTTTGGTTTACTTGCGCATTTATTTTAATATTTTTTAATAAATACTTTAGAATATTAACCAAAATTTATAAAAGCTTTTTAATGTAATGGAGCTTTTTCTGTTATAGAATTAGTTTAGGAATAAAAAACTATACCTTTTTGTTGCTCTGTAAATGAAAAAAATGCTATTTTTATACCTTTTTAAAGCTTTATTATTTTTGCAGAAGAAATATAGAATTATTTTGAAAAAAATAAAGGAATTTTGAAAAACCAAACAAAGACGGAAGATTTATAAAAACAAAATATTGTTTTCAATATTCTCTTTATAAAATAATAATGGAATAATTTTTTTAATAAAGTTTTAATGTATATATGTTGTATAATAGAACAATGAATGAATAAAAATGCTATATATATATATAAATTTTAAATATTAGAAATAATTTTTTTCATTCTTATTTTTCTACTATATTACCTTCATTCTTAATTAAATTTATTAAAAATATATTTATATATAAAAAAATAATTCAATTTCTATTTTTTTATAAATTACTTTTTTACAAATGTAAAGTTAATATTTATCTAAAAACTCTTTTCCTGGATTATCACTTATTTGTGGTTTTATTATTTTAAATTCTTAGATATCCCATTAAAATTCAGGCTTTTTTTAAATAGTATTAATTTTTATTTAATAACTTTCTTTTGAAATACTTTTTATAATACTGGCTTTCTAAACTCAGAAGTCCCATGTGTAAGCACAATATAAACTCCTTTTTCTGTTAAAACTCTGTGTATTTCTTAAAGCATTTTATTTGCATTTGTTGTTTAACTTTCTCCACATAAAACAGAATCTAATAAGCCTTTATCAATAACACAATCAAACGATTTTGAATCAAATTCCATATTTCTTACATCCATTTAAATATCTTTTTTTTTTTAAAAAAAAATGTAAAAAGCTAATCGATTTTTAAGTTTTTTACATTTAAAATTAGGACCCTAATCTTTATATCTTTCTTACATTTATTTTGTAACAACCATAGAAAAATCAATATTAGTTATATTTTAATATCCTTCGTCAAACATTTCTTCACTTAATCCTTTTATTATTTTTATTATAATTATTATTTGTTATTTTATTTAATATTTATTAAATAAAATTAATGTATTACTGGAAGAACCAGATCCAACATTTAATATTTTTGTTTCTGGATTTATATGGGATAATACTTGATCTCTTATTCCACTAAATCTTTAATACCAATCAAATTAATCCTATTCTCTTTATTAATTAATTTATTTTTGTTATTTAATTATTTTAATAATTATTTAAATATTTTTTTACCTTGTATATCTTTCTTCCCAATATTATGGATTTCCGTATTAATTCATTTTTTTATATATAATATTCAATTTTTTATTATACTTTTTTTCGTTTTTTATAAAAAAACTAGTTTTTTTATTTTTAAAAAAAATATATTTGATTTTTTTTTTTTAAAAAAAAAATAAAGAAATTATTAAATTTAAATTGTATAGAAAAATTTAATAAAATAAACTTTAGCTTAAAGAAAAATATTAATAATAAATATTTTAAAAAAGACTAAATAATAATTTATAATAAATAAATTAAAATTTAAATCAATATTAACTCATTAATGCATAACTTTTAACTTTAAAAAGTTCTTTTGGAAAATTAGATTATAATTAATCTGCAACTAAAACTAATTAAACTTAATTAAAAAGTTCCAAAAATAATTATTCAGACCTTGTAACTGAATTGTCTTCCTTATCTACAACAAATCCACTATTTGCAATGTTTTCTTTTACAATAATTATTCCCTTTATATAAAATTATTTACAAAAATATAACAAAGTAAATAAGCATGTTTTTAAATTTACATTTTTTTTTAATGCATTTTTACATCTAGTTAAAAAATTAATAAAATCGTCATCAGTTAAATAGTTTGAAACCTAATTATCTTTTTAATAAAAATAAATACTTAAAAAAAATAAAAAACCCATTATATCCATATACAATCGTATAATTCTGTAAAATTCAAACTTTAAAGTCCACTTGTTATATATAATTAAACTTAAGGATTACTATTAAATTCCTATGCCATATGTTCTATGTATTTAGGGTTTTAATCAACAACATCTACCTAATATATAAAATAAGTAAATATTCTTATCTTTTTTTTTTAATAACAGTTTAAAAATGCTTTAATAATAATTCTTTTGTAATTCTTCCTGTTCCAGCACCACAATCAATTACTCTTCCATATTGTAATCCAAAATTTTTATTTAAAAAATCTAAAAATTCATTTGAATCATGTATATCAGGTTCATGTAAAATTCCGAATCCTCCTAAAACTCCATTTGTAGTTGCTTCTGTATTCTTATTAATTTTTTTAAATATTATTAAAAATTAATAAAATAAAAATTTTTACTTCCCAATATTATGCTGCCTTTAAATACCATTAAGCAATTGAACCTATTTTATTAACTACGTTTGGATGTTGTTTTCCATTTAATTCTACTTCCCACATTTCTTTAATATTATTATATCTAATTTATAATAAAATATTTATTAAAATTTGTATTTTTATATTTACACTGATCCTTAATAATCAGTTCCAAGCTAATTTACTTTGCTTTACCTTTTTTCAAAATTAATAAAGTAATAAAACAGTAATTTACATTTCTTAATATTTAATATTTTATGTAAGTATATGATTTTAAAAAATATATTTATATTTTTTATAAAATATTTTTTTTGTTTAAAGTAATTAAAATATGATTAATATCTTTAAGTTAATTGTAAACTATATTAAAATTTAGAAAAATAAATAATAATAATAATAATAATAATAATAATAATAATAATAATAATAATAATTTTTTATATACTAATTAAATATTTTATTTATTTTTAATATATTATAAATTTATTTTTTTTCAATAAAATGGATTATAATCATTCTATTAAAACTAAAACAAAGAATATTTAATAGAATTTTTTTCCATTTTTATTATAAATTGGTCCATACAATTAAGACAATTATTTTATGAATGATTTTTTACTTTTGCCAACTGTACCTTTAATTGGAAAGTATTCTAAAAATGGTTATGAATTAAACGATGTTAAATTTTTATGCGCAATAGAGTGCGAAATCGACTAAAATAAAATAAAAGAAATTGAAAACTAAGAAGAAATATATTTACCTTAAAAAATAAAAGATTTATTATATAATATTCCTGAAAAAATAAAACATAATGTACCTTCTAATAATAACGATGATTAATAAGGAATTAATAAAAAAGGAAAGTCTAAAAATAAAATATTCGAACATAATCCTTATTAATATAAGTTTTAGAATAAAATTAATTTTATGTGGATTATAAGTTTTTAAAATGAAAAAACTAAATAAAGTAATTTTATGAATATGTTATTTCATCCTTTTTCTTTCCAACCTCTTATTTTTTAAGATAAGTAAAAATTAATTTAAAATAATCCTGTGTGCTTAGTTCAAAGCGATAATAATTCAGTATTTTGTTTATAGAATGAATAAAAAAATATTAATTTTGAAAGTTTTAGAAGTGAATATTCGAGTATTCATTTTAAAAATTATTCTTTATGTTTTTCACCTAATAATATGAAGTTTGGAATGAATTTTAAATTTTAAATTTGTGACTTCTTTAGCCTGTTTTTGGCTGAAAATGGTATTCATAATGTTGCTTATCATTGGAATGTAAATGATAATAATTATTAAAAACTTTTTGAATAGGTTTTTATCTAAAATAAGAATTTGAATAATATTTTTAAGGAGCTGGAAAGTATATTAGGAAAAGAAAATTTGCATTTAAATTTTGCAAAGTAATTATTCTTTTAAGAATGAATATTATGAATTTTTTTTTTTAATATATATTTTAAATATTAAAGAAAAGTAATTATTTAAAATATAAAATATCGTTTTAACAATAAATTGATATAATATAATATTTATATTGTTGAATATCTTTTATATATAAAAAAATTATAGTATTTTTTTATTTTCTATATATAAATATTTTTTTAATTAATAAATATATTTTTTTTTATTTTGTTATTTATAAAAAAAAAACATATAGTATTTTTCTAATTAAAAAAATAAATAAATTAAAAAATGATTTTTTTGAAATAAATATTAAAATTAATAATAATACATATATATGCACATGCATGTAAAAATTAACTTTTAAATATTTTTTATTCCCAAAAATAAAAAAAAAGAAACTGTACTACCAGATGCAGCAAATCCCATAGAATTAGAAAGAACAAATGTAGGTTCTATAACATCAATAATATTTTTTGTATCTCTTCAATAACGAATACCTTAATGTAAAAAAAATGCACACATAAAAACAAAAACTAAAACAAATAATAAAAAGCAACTGGAAAAATAAGGATAACATTTCCCACATAATATGATTTTTCAATAGCAGATAATACAAATATAGATATAAGAAGTTAAGATCCTGACTACCCTTAAATAAAAAATGAAAATTTATCGGTATCATTATTTTAAAATATACTATATAAGATATATTTTGATGCTTCAAATAAATGTATTGTATGTACAACTTAATGTCTATGTGCTAAATGGATTCCAACATAGCGTTAAATAGAAATAAATAACATATCAGGTGATATATTTGCTGGGTCATTACGAATATTTATAAAATATATTCGAAATCCTTTAGCTTTGCCAAATTAAAGCACAGGTAATTTCCGAATTGAAACATATGTTTAAGAAACACTTCTTGATTAAAATTTGAATTTGGGAAGAGTCGTTTTTACTCCATTTATAATTCCAAATAAATATGGGTATATAGCAAACGATGGTTCTAATTTGGGAGGTTTTTCGACTAATTATAAAGTGACTTTTTCCCTTTTTCAAGTTTTGCCATTAGGAACTTGGTTTAGGTTTAGGTTTCCTTATGAATATTCTTTTTAGACTTTGGAATGCTCCATAGTTTATACGGATTTAGCAACTGAAAAAATCGATTGTGCAGTAAATGATGATAATGTACTTATTACAGGAAGCGTTTCTAGATAAATGAGTTTGGGTAATTATGATTTAAAAATTAGGAACGTTGTAAATCCTAATAATGCAGATGAATTTAAAGGCTTTATTCTTGAATGCCTTTTTCCAGGAACTTTTAATGTATTAGAATTTTACATTATCTAAGGGTCCATTATAATTAAAGCAGGGTAAATAAAGAATCCTTAAATTTCAGGAAATCCTCTCAATATGAATCTTAGAATTGATTATACAATTTAATTCACACCCACTAATACTATACCTTCAAATGGATCTATTAAAATTAAATTTCCAACACTTGCAGCGACTTCCGATGATCCTATAACTAGAAGATTTACTTTAGATTCAATTTGTAGAGTTACTAACGGATTAATACCATTACGTGAAAAAAAAAATATATATATATGAATAAAAAATGTTTAATAAAACAAAAAAAGCACCAAGCAAAACAGTAGATTGTAAATCAGACACAAAAGAATATTTAACAATAAGTAATTTCTAATAATTTTTTTCTTAAGAAATCGAAGTAAAGATTTTCGCTGTAAATCCAGGAAGAGCAGCGACATATAGTCCTTTCTAAATAGTCACATATTAAGATTCGGTAGGTACGAAAAAAATTGACGAAAACACAGATTCTGGTTAAGTAACAATATCAGACATAAACAGGCCTTAATATGTCCAAATAGACTTGTTTAAAGTACTTGTAAACGGAACTTTTAGTCAAACTATCCCCTTGGATTTTCGTTTATACCCAAATCCAGGAAAAGAACTTGCTTTGTCTTCTTCTACTTCCAAACATATGATTTATTTTTAAATTCCTATATTTTGGAGATTAAAAGGCTGTGGTTTTTAAACGAATACTTAAGCATAGAAATTACCAGAAGCTTTATTTGGAAATGATCCTGCTTTTTCGGTATCATACAATAATAATATTTTCTATATTTTTACACCTTCAGCTACCAATGTATTAAAATATCCACCTTAATTAGGTTTAGGGTAATGTGATTTGCCTATTTCGTTAAATTCTGTAATTTTACCCGGATTTGGTGGCAAATATTTTTTCAGAAGTCTCACTTTTTAAAATTACAAGTTAGCATCAGATGTCCCTGTGGAATAAGATTTATTCTTAATGGATATTGCAATCCCTGATTTGAATAATTGTATTATATAAACCAGCGGTTCAGAAGCTTAAGACCCTGATAATGTCGTTTATGCGTCTTTTAACGTGGGAATCGCGATTCCTTATGAAGGAGCGATAAATTTTAATATGACTAGTGTTAATGTATAGGAAGAAAATTCCTCTAGGTGGGAATTCGCGTTAGGATTTGATATGCCAGCAGGTATATTTGGTAAACTTGTGCCTTGTTCTGTATTTATATCTGGAGATTTGTGCGGTTTTAAGGATTCTAATCACCCAAATGTGCGTTGTTATGTTTTTAATGGAAATATATAATAAAATGCTATTTTATAAATAAGAGGATTTTCCTATACTATAAATTCAGGAACTACTATTTAGGTGTATATACCGAATATTAGATTCTGTGAAGTCGAAACTATGGGATGCTTTATTTAATTAAACACAGCATATACATCAGATATTGCAGATCCGTATTTTTTGAATAGGAAAACAGTAGCGGTATAGGCGAAAATAAACACTAAATCTAATATAAATGAAATCGCGAATACTTAAAATGAAAGTTAGCCCAATTTTGGGACTAGTAAGGAAATTTGTGTTTTCGCAGATTGGACTTTCCCGTATACCTTTAGTACAGGATTTTAATCTGGAGATTCTATTATTTTGAAATTTCCTTATCATAGATGGGTTGATGATGATGTTTTTTCACTTAAAAAATTGTAAGTGTAGAATGTTAGTTCGAATTTTGGAACTGTCACATTTATTAATCATAGTACTACTAATGAAATATATTTTTACATATAAGTTAATATCAACGTTGCGGCTAATACAAGTCTTTAATTGAAAAATTTGAAAAACGTTATAGATATAAGAGATTCTTAGGATCTTAATGTAGTTTAGGGGATTATAGTTAAAGGAGTTTATTGGTAAAATAAAAAAAAAGTTGGATATATGAAATGGGCTAGGTCGCCGAACTTTGATGATGGAGGTATTTTAGGGTCCATAATTGATATTTTACCCGATGGAACTGATACTTAACCGAAAAGAACTTAGAGTACTGATATGGAATGGAAATCAGAAGTTGCTTATAGGTATATTATTATTTTTTATTAATAATATTTTTTATAATTTATATTTTTTTAGAATAAGATTTTATAATTGTAGAATTATTCCTGAAAATGGAAAAATAAAAGTCAAAATTCCTAAAGGAACTCCAGATTTTATAAATATTAATCCTGATTGTATAGTAAGTAAAGGAGTTTAAGGTATAAATAATTTGAGTATTTATAATGATGTCTCTTGTAAACTTGATGCTACAATTCCTTCTAATAATTACTTTATAGTATCAGGATTTAAACAAGTAGACTAAGAGACTTCTATAGAGTTAATATTTAGGGCTACTAATCCTGCAAAGCAAGCAGCAACTTGGAATCCGGGATAATATGAAATAACATCACATAAAACAGACGATGTAGAAAGAAAAAAAAAATATTAAAATATTATTTATAATATTTATAATATGAAAAAAGACTAAAATAAACTTCACAAAAACCTTAGTAAATGCTTTAGATGTAGCAGGACCTAATGTGTTTCCTTAATATATTAAATGGGATAATTTTTATATTCAAAATAAATTAGCAAGATAAGGTTAAAGAGGGTATTTTGTAATGGAAATAGTAAGCCCTTTAAATTTTCCTTAAGGGAGTGTTATTACGATAAATTTCGGCGGAGGGGTTGACCAGCCATTTTCAAATGACAATTTCGATTTATAAAAGATAAAGACCTAAGGATATTTATATTGTTCAATAGATGATTAAATATAAGAAGAATGCACAATTTAATTAAATAGTTAAGAACTCACTATGAAGGTAAGTAAATCGCCTAAGTTCATGAATGGAATAGTACAGTGGTAAAAACATACTCTTAAGTTCGGGTATAGAGGAAATGATGATGGGGCAAGTACAAGAGATGGTTTTTTGATAACAAAAGCTGATATTTATGATTTGGATTTTAAGATTTAAAATGGAGGATAAATAGCCTAAACTAGTATAGCTTATAGGAATTTGGCAAAATCCTTTGATGATTTTTGGATTTGGAGTATGAATAAAATCAGTACAAATACAGGTATTTCATATACTTAATGCTTTGGGGGAAATTCTAAAGAATGTGGAATGACTACTATTATTATTAGATTTTCAATTAGTGGCACAATTCTTCCTTCCATTATTAAAAATAGCTAAAATATGGTTACTAGTAAAACTAAATTTATTATTAATTTTGAATCTAATATTGACAATATTTTCAACGATGGCTTCGATTCAGATCTTGGAACTGGACTTGGACATAGAAGTATATTACCTTGTGAGGGGAAAGGATTTAAATTATTAAATGCAAACATTGATAGACTTGATTGTAAGCTTTATCAAAGTGCTAAGCCATTGCCTACATAAATTATTATTTCAGATTTTGATTAATTAAATGCAGGAAAATATGAAATTCATATTCCTAAAATTTATAATCCTTAAAAAGATTTAGAATTACTTAGAATTTCACTTAGTGTTGAAACTTAATCCATTGCAGGAAGTAAAAAATATAAATTTATATTTTTTTATTTATTTAAAAAAATAGTTCAAGTAACAACAATTCCATAATATGAGAATATTTATGATTTAGTGAATATGACAAACACATTATAATCGCACACATTCCATGCTGTTCCTTTAAATTTAGGCGAATTAACATGTAAACCTGAATTTGATAAAACTGATATAGATACATTAGCGACTTTATCCCTTTGTTATAAAACAAGTACTCATAAATTATAAGGCGGAGACAGTATTTTATTTATGTTTCCTTAAGATTGGATATTACCGTCAATAAATACTGTATGTAAAAATACATTTACAACCTTAGATTCATAATGTGATCATTATGATTCCGCTAAATAGATATTAATTCATTTAGACAAAAATGTGAATGCTGGTTCAGAAATATTAGGTAAAATAGACATGAATACTCCTCCTTTTAAAATTATAAATACAAGCAGTAGTAGTTAAGTTATTACTGGCTATACATATTGGCGCTCAAGGATTGTTGCAAAATTCAAATTGCCTAAATTCGTTTAAATACTTACAGAACTAACTATAAAAAATACCGATATAATCATAAAAACTTCTAATAATATAAGAAAAGAGGTCGGCGAATACACTATTTAATATAACATTATTAAAACGATACCAAATGACGGCTGTATTCAAATAATCATTCCGAATGATTTTAAAGGAAAACAAAAGAAAGTATTTGCCGAAACGCCTCTCTTTTAGGTTCTAACATAGACCCTTTGGGAATATCTTTTTCTTGTGAATTAATTATTCCAGCTGATATCACAAAATCTATTTATTTACTTGTGCATACTTTTGGAGGAATAAAAGTAAGTACAACTAATCCTTAGCTTCTTGTAGTTAATTTCAAAATGGAAAATCCTGACATTGCCACTCCTGCAGATTGGGAAATCAAATAATGGTATAAAAAAGAAGATCCATTAAATTTATTAGTAGCTACTGGAACTTAAAATAGTCCTGCGCTTGTTAATCCTACACCAATTTTATATTGGGAAAAGTAAATTAAAACAAGATAAAAAGTATACACAGAAGAAGCTGGGCCTTTAGAATTTACGGTAAAATTACCTATTGCGTTAAATCATAATGATAAGATCTATATTTAATTGCCAACTGATTTTACTGTATAAGATGATGCTTAATTAGCTTGTTTTTGGGATTTTTCACTATATTATAATGATAAGATGCCAGCAGAATAATGTTTTATAGATCCTTCAGTAATTATTTTAATAAACATAAATTATATTTTATTTTTCTTTTAATATTAAAATAAAAAAATAGAATCTAATTACTGTGTTTACTCCTATATAAAAATATATTGATATATTTAACAAAAATACAGGAAATCCTATTGCATCATCTACTTTTGTTACTATAATAATAACAAGTTTAGATAATTATTATGGTAAAAACGGTATTAAAATGCCTATTTTACCCGGTTTTTACTAATCTAAGATGAAAATAACAGGCTCAGGAAACATATACGAAAGCTCAAGGAAAATATATATCCCATACAAAGTAAAATTCACGATATTTGAGCCTACAACTTTAATAAATAATCCAAAACACAGAACTGCCTTTATAATAAGATTTAATTCTCCTGTAGCTGTTTTAAAATTAAGGCTTTATGTACCTGTTGTAGATTAAGAGGGAATAGATCTTTTCGACAATGATTTGGGTAGCGGAATAATTTCGGGAGGAAATATAAATTGCTAGAACATTTCTGGATCTTTAAATTTAAAATTGAATTGTATTATAATACATGGAAGTAAAGCAAATGGAAATCACGCTTAAATAATTATAAATCAAGCAATTTCAGCTGGTAATTTTTATGAATTTATGGTCGACTAAATTGTTAATCCAAATCTTTCTACAGAAGACAGGCATGTTTATATGATACTTGAAGGATTAGATTTAGCATATAATGTGTTAGTTTCGGAAATAAACTATGATTTTTCATTTAAAAACCTTTAATACTCTTCTATTGCTTTAGATCCGGATGCTACTAAAGTTCCAATTGGAGATAAATATCCAGCACCAGTATCTGCGGGTACAGGAGCAGGTCCAAAGGAAAAAAATATTGATTATAATTTTAAGTTTAACTTGAAAGATGATTTAAAAGCCGGAATTGAAAGATATGATTACATAATTATAGAGTTTCCAACTTATGCTTATAATATTTAACCTTTAACTATTAATTGCAATATTGGAGTTTGTAAAGCTTATTAAGGATACAATTGGGTTGTATGGAAAGCTAACTCAAATTTAAATAAGGGAAGCTTATTAGAACTTGTGGTACATATGGTCGAAAATGCGAAAATATCGAGTAATACAATACATCTATTATGTTATACTATTAAGAATAGGGTTGTTACTGATAAAACGTATTTTAGACCTTTACCGGCTGTTACGGCTATTAGTTCAGATAAATTTACTGTTACTGCGCCTGAATATATAAATGCAGCAAAAGTATAATATATATATTATTTTATTAATTTTTGTTAAATTTTCAAATTATATTTAGATTCCAAAAAATGTAGTGACTAAGTATTTGATAAGATTAAATCTTCCATTTAATCTTCTAAAAGATTAAGCATTTATTGATATTAAATTCCCCACTGGTTATGTTCTTTAGCCATATTGTAACGATAATATAGACTTTCCTTTACTAGGTGTCTAAGATTAAATATCATGTTCAGTAAGTGGATAAGTATATAGTATAACAGATATAAAAGATACAATTGCTACTGAAATAGCATTCGAAATATGGGCTCAAAATCCAAATATAGCTACTACAAATCCAATATTTTAAATATAAATATTTTTAGATTCTGCAAAAGCAAATAGTGTTTTAAATCAATCCACAACAGGTCCAAATATTGCAAATTTATATGGATTTAATTTTATAGAACATCTTTAGGAAAATATGCGTTTTTCAAAACTTAATAATATTGGGGAATTCAGAACTTCTGTTGTTATAGGAATATCGTCTTTTAATGAAAATAATTATCTAATTCTAGAGTTCCCTAATGATGATGTTTCTGCATTAGCTAAAACTAATTTATTATGTGGATTTGATAAAATTGAAGCTTCAAAATGTATTGTTTAAACTTAAAGCCCCTTAAAAATTTATATTTATGGCCCTTCAGCAGTCTCATTATCAGCAACATAAAAGTAAATATATAATTTTTTTTTTAAAAAGTAAAATAAAATAAAAAAGATATTAAATTTACATAAATTAAATCCAATATACTAAATCTTCATACTCAGTGTATAAATTGTCTACAAATTAAAACCCTTTAGATATCTAATAATTCCCTTTTACTATATACCCAACATAAAATTTCGAGTAAAATGCCTAAATGCATATTACATATGAAAACGAGGGGAAAATAGCCGATTTTATCTTTGTTTTTCGAACAACAGTCACAATCCCTTCAGGAGGTTCTATAAGTGCTTCTTTTCCTTTAAAATCAGAAGATGGATAGGTACTTTTTGATAAATTTTTGGGTAAAACAGACATACAATTTTACTAAAAAATCGATTGCGTATACAATTTTGTTGCATCTCCATTAATTACTGGCACTTGTACCCTAGAAAAAATAAATAACAAAGTTTCTTTTAAACTCACTCTTGACTAAAACCTTCCCGCTTAATAAATTTATTTTCTAGCCCAAAACATTAAAATCCCTTCAAATCCAGCTTCTAAATCCTATAATATTCCAATCGAACTAACTACACAAACAAGCTCTAATAATCTTTTAGAAGGGACAGTTTTCGAAGACTTACTCACTCCAGCAACCCCATCATCACCGTAAATAGGAACTCCTGTTTAAATAACTTCTACGTCATATGAAATAGGTTAAAGTGCCGATATTACCTTTAATTCAATAAGCTTAGGAGCCACAAACAATTTTTCATATACAGATAGGATAGTGATCAAATTTCCAATAGGCTTCGAAACAAAATAAGCCTCAGTGACAACTACTTTAGCAAATTAAAGTTTAAAAATAGGAAATGTTATAATCTTGAGTACTGCATCAACAAGCGGAAATATCAATATTTAAATAAATAATGTTAAAAATCCTCCGAATCCTCTTTCCGATCCATAAATTGAAGTACATATAGTAAAAGGATATTTATCTACTTCTTCGCAATATTTTAATTTACAAAATAACATAATACTCCCTGTTGTAATTCCGGTTATAATTCCTACTTTTTAGAGTACTACAATAGTCACAGTCCATAACAATATGAACTTCCCAAATATCTTGTATCTTACGTATTAGTCTTCGAATTTAATTCATGCTTTGAATACTTTCTTGTATTTGCAAATGACAACAGTAGCTACTATTCCTTCATCTTTAATAGGTCAAAATATTCCTTGTTTTGGAGATTTTCCTATATATTGTACAATTAGAGCTGCGGGTATTTATGAAGGATTTAATAGTGCCTTCCCGACAATATATATACACGGACAAGGAGATATATTAAGTGGTTAGAACTACACTTTCTCTTTTCACAGTCTGGTTACATTTTTAAATTAAGACAAATGTGACATATCATTTGGGGCCTATAATAAATTATTATAAACTAAAATTGTAGAAAGCTCAGGTCTATCTTTTACGTAAATAAATAATCCAGCAAGTATTACAGATGATTTAGCGGAATTCCAAATAATTGAAAACGGAGATATACATGAAGAAATTAAAAACCAGATTGATTTTCCTATGAAAGTTGGTTAAATTTATTTAACTAACTATATTGTATATATTATGCCCTTTAATATGCCTGCAAGTACTTTTATAAATTTTAATCCAGTAATAAGTTTAAATGCATAAACAATAAGTAATTAATGCATAAAAGAAACAGGAACCACATTTATAATTAAATGTACACTACAAGAAGATATATAGGCAGATTCAACTAGCGGAAATTTCATTTCTATTACCAATTTTAAGTTTCCGAGTAGTTATATGAGCTCTACAGATACTGCTTATGGAATTTTAATTTTAGATAATTTATAAAATGTTATTTAGTATAAAAAAATTAACTTTTCTTCAATTAACAGTCCTGATACTATAACTTTTGAAACTTTAGAATATTAAATAGATGATATTTATTTAATTGAATTCAAACTTACATAAAAAGTGCCAGCTTTTGCAACTCTTTCAATTTAATTGCCTTTAGATCCGGTTTAAATTATATTTTTCTAATGGATCAATAAAATAAATATACTAGAAGATAATACATAAACTCTTTAACATCAAGTCAATAGTCCTTAAAAATCAATAGACATAACCGGCTTTAAATAAATAGAGCCTGGAAATGTCAATTTAAAATTCTCTTGTACAGGTTGCACTACTAAAACAGCAAATATTAATATAAAAATACATTATAACAATTAATTTATTGTAGACTAGCATTCCTAAACAGCCACAGATACAACTCCAACTTCCACTTTATCTTCCGAAACAGTAAATTCATTGAATTTTGTGAACTATATAGAACCATTTACATTAAAAAATTAATATGAATCTTTTAAAATAAGACTCTAAGTATCTTCTTCGTATACAAGTTCTTCCGAAATCCGAATTACACTTGCTTCTGGTACAAATAATCCTCTAGCAGTCGACACATATGTAACCTAGAAAACTACTGTAAAATGCAATGTAAAAAAAGCAGGATAAAAAGATTAAAACTATCGAGCAGTAATTTGTTTTTTGAAAAAAATTTCCGACACAAAACTAATTGTACAGAATTTCAATTTTCAATCATCTGAAATATATGACATTCATGTATTTTTAATACACAACCCTTTAGTAACTACAAGTTCTCCCTTATATTTCCTAATGCCTTCAACTGCCCTTATGTATAACCAAATAGTCGAGGCATCCGACTTAATAACAAATCCAAACGATTTAACTGAAAAAACTATTAAAGGTGCATAATTTTTCTTTTTAAAAATATACAATAATAAAATAAATAACGCTAAAATAAGATCCTTTGATAATACTATATCAACTTAAAATTTAATAAATATATAAGGATTATTCTCTTCAGGCGCTTCTTTTATAGATATTGAGTTTCCATTGTAAATATTATAAACTGCTTCCCCTTCATTTACTAGTTTATACGCCTAAGATCTCGCTACAGGCATAAAAAACGGAAAACCGGTTCCTTTTGAAGATAAAACAGGAAGTTTAGGTAAATCAACTTAATTAAGACTCTTTTATGGATAAACATAATTAAATAACCCTACCAAAATAAGAGTTATGTACTCTAGTAGTATTAGTGGACTTAACTTAAACGTGAATTTGAAAACTATAGGAAATCCCTCGTCAACTAATTTAATGAGTCAAATAAGAATATATAGTGCGTTTTCTGATGGTAAATTAGGCGATGTGTATGTATTTTAATATACTACATACACATATAATGATATAGGTACTTCTACAGAAAAAGGAAGCGCTACTTTTTCCCAAACAACTGCAGGGACAATAATAAACCTGACTTTCAGTTCTCTAAATTTAGCCTAAATTCCAAAAAAAGAGGACGAATGTACTTTTAAATTTTAATTTTTAAACAATCAATATAATTAAGCTATGACGGAAATAAATTCTGGTACAAACACTGATTTTTAGAATAATTTAACTACTTTTTTCACAATAGAAAATGATTAAATTTCCACTACTTACAATATGGTTGTTTAAGATATCAAAACACCCCCTTTTATAGGCACTTTTTCATATAATTAATATATAATAGAGCAAATTTGCAATAGAAAAAAACGAGCTAAATTTACTTTTACGTCTTCTACAACACTTACTTCAGGAGGAGATTTCGCAATTTTCAACTCTTTATTACTTTCTAGTTATAATATTAAAAAATAATAAGTCTAATATGATTTTAAGTATACTTTGCAAAAAGATCTATTCAAAAATAATGCTATATGGATTACTTTTCCTTCTTAATTTGTTGTTCCTGCAAGCCCTTCTTGTAGTTTAATAGACTAAACGAATATTTAGATTATTCCAATTACTTGCATAAGTAATGTTACAAATAAAAGATTTTAAATAGTAGTAAATTAAGAGTTAATTCCTGGAGGATCAGATATGTAAATAAGTATTTTAATTGATAATCCAACAACTACTGTTACTACAGGAAATTTCATGTTGAAATTTTGTCTTGATTCTGCTTGTTTATATGAATAACAATCTATAAATATTATTGGAATATCCATAATAGATATAAAAGAGCTAAATTTGAGACTATATCAACCCCAAAGCACTGCCTTTTTTTGTCAAAGTTAGGACCAATGTCCATTAAGTTTCTCGTTTAAATTCCCTGATAAATTAGATAAATTGGTTGACTATTTAGTTTTAGAAAATCCTTCATTTATGGATACTATAATATCTTTTGATAATACCTAAAGTAAAGAACTTGCTTGCTTTTTTTAAGATTTTGCCTCTTATTATTGTTTTTATGATTCTGTCTAGAAAACTATAAATATATTTGCGCCATCTAATACTGATATTTTGAAAGATACAATATTAAGAATTTAAATTTTTTCTTGGAGAGATACTTTATATCAAACAGGAACAAATTTAATTCAGAATTTTAAACTTTTGCCCACATACAGCTTTTATAAGGCCACTCCTGAGAAATTATAAGATATTCCGATTTCTTTGTAGAATGCAGGCGGTTCAATACTTTAAGTAAAAAAATGGTGGCATTTTATTAATTAAGGATTTATGAATGCTTATTTCTGCTTTTATACGACTAATATTAATAGAGACTCTTTATTAAAAGTTTATTTCTAGCTTTCTCAGCCTTCTAATGATGCACTACCTGATACCAAAGTTTGGGGAATGTTCGAATTATCGCTAGAAACAATGAATGAAGTAGGCTAAACATTAATTCCTTACAATCTACATAGTAGATTTTACAAATCAAATCAAGAAATAGATTGTTTATGTTAAAATAACATAAATCTTCTTTTTAAATGTTACGTATAATACTCTGGAGTCAGCAAAGAATCACCCACATCTATTATAATAAAGCCTTAATAAATTTTAGCTGTAAATGATATTCTTTTATTAACTTTCCCTAAAATAAGTATGCCTTTAGTCGAAAATTACTATGTGAGATTATAATTGAGATAAATAACTTATGATTCTATAAAAAAAGAGCTTATTTATTTATCCGATAAACCCTCCGATTTTGTATTTTTGACAACTAAATATACCACAATTTAGACAAATTAATTACTAGACACTTCCATTGATAATAAAGTAGGAAGTCCTAACAATATTTTATGGTAACTAGGAAATACAAATGATTTGAAAAAAAATACACGAGATAGAATCATTATAGGAACTAAGACAGATGAAATGATATTCGAACAACCTGCAAATCCTGTAAGTAAAACCTTAAAAACGACAAGTGATTAAGGAAATGTCTGGATATATACACTCGCCTAATGGTTAGAAATAGAACCTACTGTAAATATTTCCGGAAGTTCTTTATAAATAAGAACTATAGACTTTAAAAACATGCCCTATGAAATTTAATAAGGAGTCTATTTCACAGCTGAAACATGGTCCACAGGAGATAGCAAATTAGACACAAAATACAATAAATTAGATATGGCTGATCCTCATCCGTTTGTATAATCTGATTTTTAATTTGAAAATAATTTGGTTGGATTAGTAAATAAATTTACTTTTACATTTTAACCCTTCAATAATATTCCTAAAAGTGGAATTATAACAGCCTATTGGGCTACAGGAACTCCTAATCCAGATAATAATTGGGAATTTACAAATCAATATTGTAAAATTTTGAGTGGACTAGACGACCCTGATTGTTAAATAATTTAAGATAAATTAAATAACATACTTTAGATTTAAATTAAAGGTTAGGCCTCTAATTATAATGCAGCAAAAGATGGACCTATTAAATTGTAAATCTAGCTCAGAAATAGTGTTGATCCAGGTCTCAGATCAAATTTTAAATTCAGTATATATTGGGATTATTATGGATATAATAATAGAGTATAAGTTTCTGGCTCAAATTTATCCTAAAGAAGGAGAACATGTGAAAACTTACTATATTCATCTATAAATTTAATAAGTGTCAATCCTATATAATTAACATTATTAGAAAGATATTAAAACGAAATTGAAATTTGTGGCGGAAATATAGGGCCTTTATTAGTTACATTTTAATTGAATGAAAGTTTATATTATCCACATGATTATATAATAATTGACTTATATAATATGTTAATATATGATTTAACTATCCCAGATCCAAGAATATAGGAAGTTATTTGTTATTTTAATAATGTAAGTGACCCTAAAAAAATTAAAATTAAAACATTCCGTTGTGATTTTGATTAAGTAAACAAAAGAATATTAGCATATGTACCGGAAGAAATGAACCTTTTATATACTAATAGATATAATCTTTATATGACTATTAGAACTGATAATGTTGATACATGGGGATTTAAAATCAGTGGGCCATCCAAAGCTAGATGGACAAGAATAAGTACAAAAAGAGAAACAGGAGCACCTTCAGCTACCGCGGCTGAAAAAGCAACATATTATGATGGTATTTTCTTTTTTTAATCAAATGTTATTATAAATTATTTTTAATTAATTTTTATTTATACAAAAGTTGGTTGGGTTGAAGCTTTAATTCCTCCCTGTCCTTTTGATAATAATTAATTTAGCGTATATGCATTAACCCACGAGTTTAATACATTAGATTATAATAGTATAATTGATGCTAACAAAAACAATAATAAATACATTTACAATTTATTTAATATAACTCTAGCAACAACAGGAAATGATATTGAAGTAAGCGACCCTTCTAACCCTTTCAGAACAAGAATGGTTTTCGAGTTTTTAACACATAATGGAGTTTTCAGAAGCTGGGATGAAGATCCGACAGGTAACAAATTAAGTTAAACAGGCCCTGCTGCTTGTGGAACATTATTTAATTAATATCTCGGTATTGCTACAGCTGGAAAATAAAACTCTCCTAAATCTTTCGACTCTTATTCTCCTGGCAATATAGATATTGAATGTACTGTATATCCATCCAGAGGTCAAAGTTTAGAATAACCAACATACATAGTAATGGAAAACTATGAAAAAATATTTGCTGGCAATACTTTTAATATTAATCTTGGAAAAATAAAAAATCCAAATAAACCTAACCATGGAACAACATATGAATATAAAGTATATGATGACACTAAAAGATACTAAACATCCGCCCATATTCGTATCCATATAGAATAAAGATAAGTTGACGGCACATATTATCGTAAAAATAAAAAAATAAAAAAAGTTAATTTAAATAAACAAAAATAGCAATTAATAGATAATGGAGATATAATATAATCCCATAATTCATAGACGAAAATACTCCAATAAGTTTATCTACAGCAACATTCAAAATCAGCCACTACGATACTCGAACAAACTTCCCACTTCGAAATGTCACATATGAAATAAATAGCCTCACCAGTCAATTATCGAATTCAAGAACTGCTATTGTAGTATAATACTCAGAACCTTACGAATTAGTCTCAAAAGGAGATTGTATATAACATAATAAAGACCTACCTTCAGTGCCACATGGACCAGTAGCATGTGCATTTATAAAATAAAGTAAATGGGTAGTTTTATCAAACAACTTAGTAATAAATCCTCCTGAAAAATATTTAGTGATTGAATGGGAGCCTACTAGCCGTATGAATCCTCCATATACATTCGATTATATATAGAAAAATTCTCCTTTGAATGCATGGGTTTATAGTAATAAAAGAGTCATAATGCGCCGTATCTAAGATTTAATATCTCCAGTTTAATAAAAATGCTTAGTTTTAATGGAAACTACAGCTGCAGATAATCCCCAAAACAGAGAAGTTACATATAGAATAGGCGTATATTTACAAACATTATCTTCATTTATGTAAACAATAGAGTTAGTCGCCCCTAAAGAATTCCAAAACATTAGAAGATGTAGAATTAAAAAAGGATTAGTTTTAAATAATGTAAACGATTTGAATGATAATATAAAATGTACAATCATTTACTAAACGACTTGGCTAATTAAAATAACTAATTTCAAATTCAAAAATATAAACGATGATGGACTGCTAGTACTCGAGTTATTAATTATGAACCCATATATATCTGGATGGACAAATTAATGGAAATGCAAAACTTATGCAATGGACGAATAAAAAATTCATGATTTAAATTATTAAGCTGAAGGAAGTACATGGGTAGGTGATTTTGTACCTTTCCCGAACTTATTTAGAGTCTATAGAAATACTGTTAGTTTTTAAGATAGGAGAGCTTCAACTAATGATTATGCAGAAGTACATATGAGAATTATTCCTAAAAAAACTCACCCACAAACAGATGATTCGAACAAAACTTAAATTGAAATTTGGATGCCTATAGAGTTCGATATTCCAAACGGAGGATAAAGAGTTTGCGAAGTTACACATAAATATCATGATGATACAAGTGGCTAATATTGTGAAATCACTTCTGATAGAAAAATATTTGTTAATACAAATAGATATTAAGGTCTTATGGATAAATGTGGATTAGTTTCAGCTACTACAATAAGTATTTTATTTTTATAAAATATATATAAATATTAAAAAAAAAAATAGACAGTATAAATAATTAAAATGGTGTAAAATTGCCTTCAGTTGCAGGAAATAATAACTTCCAAGTATTCATAACGTCTGAATAAAACGGAAAAGTGACAAAAGAATATTCCGATTTAGGTGCAACCACAAAACCCTAATAACTAAGTACATCTTCAACAGGAGATTAGTTTAATATTTCTGTACAAGAACAAGAAACTTAAGAAAAACAAAGAGTAATTATAAAATTTAAATCTCCAATAATAATTCCCCCAGCTTATGATACATCAGCAAATATTTCTGATGTAAATTTGAATAATCCAATAAGTTATTTAGACATTTAATTTAATACAAGAGATGATATTAATAACATATTTTGGACTTCTTCTTCAGGATGGACAAGAGTACTTGGTTGGCCTCTTAATTTAGGCTTCACTGTAACTGCTGGTCAGAAAACGTTTGTTCCATGTAAAGCTTATTCAGGTTTAATACCGAAAGAAGGTGAAAAAATTCTCTGTTAACTTATTCCTGCTTAAGATTACACAATATATACTCCAGCGATTGTCCGAGTTTATAATTTTCAATCAGTTGCCAAAAACTAAATTATAGAGTTACATTTGCTATCTATTTTAGGACAAATACATGGCGGAAATGCCGGATATATAGACGTTGGAGTATTTCAATAAATGGGAGACGGCAGCTTAGTCTGGATTATTGAGCTAACCAGATTTGCAATCGGTGGTCCTTCCTGGAAATATTATAACCAATACCGTTTATATGAAACTGATTAAATAAAAATAACTCCAAATCAAGTCGGAGCATATTCAGAATGGCTATTTACATTTAAAAGCCTATAATATAAAATTCCAGCTATCCCCGTGGATGTAGATTGTCCTGAAATAAGAACAGCTTTAACTAGTTCTATAGAATTCGCTGCAGGAACAATTTTTGTATTGGATATTCCTAAAAATTATTTCGAATTGAAAGACGATGGAAGAATATAAGCCACTTTTTCGAATATTCCAATGAAAATATGGGTATATGAAGAGACAAATCAAATATTCTTAAGAATTGAATAAACAGTCCCTTGTACAGGAGCCAATGAACTCAAAATAACTCAACTAAGGAATGCTGCATATTAATTTTTGACTCCATATTCATTAAAAATTACTAGTTATCGTATAGACAAATAAATTAAAAACACTTTCAGGTTTAACAACATCTCATCACCTACTCCAGGTGAATTTGTTACTTTAAGTTTAGTTTTATCTAAATACTTTGCAGATGAAAGATATGTTACATATACATTCTCCTTCACCCCTTCCTATAATATTCATTTAGGTTCCAAAATTACAATTGAACTCCCAAATAGAGCAGATATAACTTATAATGGTTTAGGAACTTCTGTTCCAAAAGAGCTTTGTGTAGTTTCTGATTAAAATCTTCTTGATTAATCTTCATGTGTAATGGGTCCATCTTTACTAACTCTTCTAGTAAAATCGAATATCGCAGAATAAACACCACTCTCAGTCTAAATTATAGGTACAAGAAATCACCCTACTTTCACAGGGCGTACATTATCTAATGATTTTTCTATTTCTATATAAACTCAATCTCCTTATACTATTATGCCTTATTTTATAAATTAAGGAAATTTCCCAGTTATTACTTTCTTGAATAAAAGAGAAACATCTTTTCTTTATCTCACTATGTTTGGTACTTCTTACTTTAATAAAGTCTAATCAGATTATACTTTCACTATTTAATCTTCTTCTGATCTTCCAATTGGAGGTTTTATTTATTTATAATTTCCAAATGATTTTCTTACTGAATATCCATCTTTAAATTCTATACCACCTCCAACATCGATATAAGGTAATAAAAAAAAAAAAAATTCCTTCATATATGTATATATATATGAATATCTATGTAAATAAATATATAAATAAATATATTTATATATTTTTATATATTTTAATATATATTTATATTTATTCATATACATTTATATATATTTATATATCTTTTTTTATTTATATTTATATATATTTATATTTATATTTATATTTATATGTATTTATATATATTTTTTTTATATACATATATAAAATAATAAAGGTTCATGGACTGTCGAATCATTAACTTATGCAACAATATGGCAATAAGCTGGAGCAAATTATCTTCTTAAAATAACTCCGAATTTTGCTTGGCCATCTCGAGGTTCCCTAACATTTAAATTTAATTCATTTAAAAATCCCTAAATAACTTCTATTACAAATCCATTCGCCTGCTACACAATTTATGACAATAAAAAGTAGGACCAAACCGATATAAACGACAATTCTTTAAAATTTAACTTCTAGCCTAAGCCAGCCGATCTTTAAGTAGGCGCATTTTCCTTTACGCCCCAAAACGAGGGTTCTTTATCCACATATAATTTCCCTTTAACCCTTCCATCTCCCCCAATTGGAACTACTGTAACTTCCTAAAACCCATACTATTTAGATTACATATTCGACACAACTGTATATGGTTAAACCCTAACAACAATCGACTAAACGGTTCCTTGTAAAATCAAACTAAAATCATAATCTAACTATGCAGATGCATTATGTACAGTCAAAAACGGAGTCCTTTCCATACCATTAACCTCCGACACTTATTTAGGCAAAGAAATTGATGTCCAAATAAATAATATAGTAAATCCTCCAGCTCCAACTTAAATAAAATCTCTTCTCCGTCAAGGGTCATCAATAATCTAATATACAGACAACGCTGCCTCAGTAAATCCCAAAAGCCCTCCTTCAGATTTAAAAATGACACTTTTAGAAACTACTTCAACCGCTCTTTAAGCAAAAGCTTCATATACTTTTTGTGTAACACATCTGAACTAATAGGCTAAGACTACATAGTTTACATATATTTTCCATCATAATTTTCCTTCAAAAGCAACTATTAATGCCAAATTACTCCTCAGCATGAAAACAGCAAAGTAACATATGACATCCTAAATTGTGAAACCTAACGCGAATAAAAAAGAATAGCCATAAAAGGTCAAAAAAATACCAAAAATCTCGGCATAAATGCCAACCTCTGTTATAAAATTGATGGTGTCCAAAACCCATCAGTTCCCGGCAATTCTGATAACTTTAAAATCCAAATATATTCTCCTTCAGAAAAAATCGTCAAATCCGAAACATCAGGCCTCACAAGTGATAAAACATAATTCCGTTACTAAAGGGAAGGCTATCAAATCATAGTAGGATAAATACCAGACATTCCTCAAGGTGCAACTACAAACGAAATTTCGATTTAACTCGAACTTTCCGTTTCCTACTCCATAGTAGCATTCCCAGAACTCGAAAACTTTGAATTTATACCACCTATAATCATATTCGATCCTACTAAAGGAGGTAAAACGTAATATTTTAAAATAAAGCCTTTAAAAAATGCTAAAAAAGGTCAAAATAATATATTATGGCATAAAAAAGAACAAAACTCCATAAATAAGTTCTCTGAAATTCCCGACACTTAATTCAATTTACTCTCGTTTACTCCTGAAAATTCCCTCAAAGCTATCTTATAGACTACAGTTTCGAGAGTTCCTTTACTAGGTACTTCCTTACCAATAGAAATTAAACTAAATCAACCTTCGAATAAGCGACTAAGTATTTCCTACACTACAAAAAAAAATCAAGACGACAAATTAATCTTCCAACCTCCCATAATGATTTTTGAACCTGGCCAAATTTCCTGCGCATTCACTTATACAACAAAAATGGGCACAATTTCAGATTCCTTATTATTTTCTCTAGATTAAGAAAGTGCTAAATATTTCGTTATGCCCAATAAAGAACTTTCCTTTGAAATTCTCGACATTGACAGAAATCCTCCGACTATCATAAACTACTATACAGTCCGAATGGATCGCACATATATGTACTTAAGAATTTCTTGTGACGAAAGCGTTAATATTTACTATATGCTAACATTCCCAGGAACCCAATAACCATCCCAAAAAGAACTCAAAAATTCGGACTTAAGACGAATATTGGGCACAAAAACTGACGTAATAGAATATTTTGGTAAAAACTCATCATTTGTATCACCCATAACCACAAATTATATATATTATGACACATATATATTCATAAATGACCTTGAAGAATAAACAGACTATCTTTTGTATTTCTTCGCAGAAGATCTTTCGTTAAACTAAACTCCTATGCACAATTTTACATTCACAACATTTCCAAAACATTTTCCGGCTTATTTCAAATTAAAGTTTAAATAAATAATTCCTGAGGATAAAATTTTCGCCGCTTTTGGACTTATAACTTCGTTACAAAAAGAAAGATTCAAACTAATTAATAAACCTGAAAAATTCAAAATCGAAGGTGTCATAGAAGATGAAATAAAAGAAATTATTGATTAAGTTCCTATAGATTATGAATTCATTCTTCTCCCAAATAAAACTTCTAATGATATCCGTCCTATAGAAATAGTTAACATATTATAAGAAAACTACGATATTTTGCAATCAGAACTTTAAGTTAATGGTAAAAATGTTCTCTTAGAAAATTTCAAAATAAACGAAAGTGCGCACTAGATATATAAAAGCCCTCAAAAATTCAAACATAATCCTGAAATCATTAAAATTACTGAAGAATCAGCCTCATTTTAAATTTAACTCTCCAATCCCGGATTTTGCTATGCAATTGTTATGTTAAAAGAATCTCCAAAGCCAACTGCTAAACAGCTTAAATATTTTCTAAACTCTACTAATTACTTCTTACCTATTGGATAATATTTTTCTAAAGAATATGTTTTTAAAGAGGGGGTGGCTAATGATAAATAAAATGTTTTTAATATTTTCACTTTTAATTCTCTTTATGATAATTCTGATTATATAGCCTATTTTATTGGAGAAAATAATTAGCTTGTAAATCCTGATCTTATGGATGAAAAAGATATCAAGTTCGTTCCTTTTAAAACTTTGAGAGATATTGTAGTTATTCCTTCATGGTTTAAACCTGATATGTCTATTTAATATGGATTTATTTTAGAATAGATAAGTTTTTGGATATTTATTTTTAATTTTATTTGACTATATTATTTTAAGAAATTACAAAAAGATAAAAAAGTTTTTTTATAACAAATAAACATATTTTAATTTTTTTTATAATTTAGACTTTTTATATTTAATATTTATTTAATTTAGTTTTACCTTATTTTTTTTTTAAAAAAATTAAAAAAAAAAAAAAATATTTCAATATATAAAAGAAATTTCATTATTCTAAATAATTTTACAAATCTATACAATAATAATATTTTATTTTTTAAAAAAAATTAGTTTATATATTTAGTGAAAAAATATATTTATTTATTAAATAGAAATAAATAAACATAAAAAAACTCTATAAAATGTCAATTTTAATAAAACAAGATGAAGTAAATTTTCTGATCTACAAATATCTTTTAGAACTAGGTTTTCAATTATAAAATCATTTTTTAACAAAACAAAAATTGAATAAACATATAAAAAAATAAAAATAAAAAAAATAAGGATTAAATCATAGTGCATACACCATATATAATGAAGCAAAAATAGAAGAAAAGTACAAAGATTATGAAGGACACATAAAAGCAGGACATTTAATTCATCTTTTAGAAAGGGCATTAATATTAAATTAAATAGAATCGCATATTTACATGGTGAGATATTTTTAAATAAATATGATATAAAAAATCAAAGAATATATTAAAAATATTTTGTATAAAAAAGAGTTAATATTGTGAATGTAAATAGCCTACAGAATTAATAAAACCGCATGCATGTGAAATTGTAAAAAAAAAGTAAGAAATAAGCTAATAAAGGATAAATGAAAAAGTAAATATGTCGATAGAAGCTGTTACAAGGACTGAAACATTTGTTGAAGGAAAAGGAATAATTTAGAGTACAGGAATTTAAAATTTACCAATTCTAAATTAATAATTTCTGTTTCAAAATTTAAACTAAATGAAATTGGATTAAACAAATTAGGAAATAGTATAAATTAAGAATATAAATATAAAAAAATATAAAACTAAATAAATTAATATATATATATATATATATATATATATATATATATATATATTTTTATATTCATTTGTAAAATAGGAAATAATTACTTGGAATAAATTATAAAAATGTTTATATTTTTATGAAGAATAAAACAAATGGATTAAAATAATTTCTTATAATAATGAAAGGGTAAATTAATTTGAAACATAATAAATATTTCCATGTGTAATAGGTTAAGAATTTAAAAGGCCTCGATTTATATCATGGGAAAGTGTAAAAAAATAAATTCTTTTTATAATAAATCATTATTATTAAAAAATTAGACATAATTCCTTTATTTAATTATTGTTTATGAAGATGGTTTCTTTCAAGTACTTGATAAATCTTTAAATTAATTAAGTATATGCAAAATTGAAGGAATAGAAAATCTTAAAGATGTAAAGTGGAATCCAGACTATTATAATATATTAGCCTTGGAATTTTCAAATTCATTTGAAATTATTGACATTACAACAACTGAAACTGTTAAATTTTGTGATTTTGCAATAATTTAGTTTTAATGGAAATATTTTGTTTAATATTTATATTTAGATACTAATTATACTATTTATTTATGCTCAATGACCGAAAATTAACCTATTCATATAATCTAAGCAGATGTATAATAAAAATAATATATATATTATTATTTTTAAAAAAAGGTAGGAACTGTAGATATGACATTAAATTATAATAGTTCATTATTAGCAACTTTCTCTTCTCAAGAAAATACTGTTAAAGTTAAATAAAGTTACTCTTTCTTTTTATATATTTTTTTTAAAATAAAAAAAGATATGGACTTTTAGTGAATAGAGTTATGTTTTAGAATTTGTAGACGAGGAATAAATTCAATATTATTCATGGGGAAAAACTAGTTGTAATAAAACCATTTATATATAAAAAAAAAATATTATTAGCCGAAGCAAGTGGAAACATAATTATTACTATGACTGAAAAAATAATAAAAATTTGGGATGTTGAATTTGGGGAATTAAAATGGAATTTAGATTTATAGGAAAGGTATATTTAATTTTAAAAAAAATAAAACAAAAATTAATACTTATATATGTATAAATGTATTTTTTTAAAAAAAAGAATTATCGATTTCTGTATAATGGAAAGTATAAAAAAACTTGATAGGCTAGTTGTTTTTACTGAAAACTAAGGAGTTTATAAAATTGTACTTATAGATTAAAAAGAAAAAAACAAATAATAAATTTAGCTTTAAAATCCTGTAAAAATAATGTAATTTAAAATATTATTTTTATTGTTTGAAAATTATAAAAAAATTAAAGAAAATAATTAAACGAAGAAGATGTTATTCTTTAAATAAAGGACGAATTGTTAGTTTTTAATTTAAAATAACTTGAGTAATAATATGTTAATATAATTTATTAAAATAATAATTATTGAAAATGTATTTAATTTTTTTTTTTTTTTTTTCTTTTAAAAAATAATATTAATATAAAAGTAGTTATTTTATTTAATAATATACAAACAAAATATAAAATTATCAATTTCATAATATATATTATTTTTTAATAATATATTAAAATTTAGGGAAAACATATAAATTGTATTTACTTTTTTTTTACAAAAAATAGCAATAAAAATATTTTTATTTTGTTTAAATAATTTATTATATTTAAAAATATAAAAGTTTTTATTATTTAAAAAGATTTATTTATATTAAAAAAAGTCAAAACAAAAATATTAATTTAAAAACATAATTTTGTTGATGTTGTAAATTTATAAATAAAAATCAATTTAAAACAATAGTAAACTACAAATTTTCTTAATTATTAAAAGAATCAACCATGACTTAATAAATTTATGAATATATCTATTAAAATTTTTTATCAAAATTATATTTATATTAAATTTTTTCATAAGAAAGATCAATATTTAATTAAACAACTCTTTTATTCTCAATTTTAAATAAATTATAAATATTAAATAAAAGTTCACTTATTTTCTAAAATCCTTAAATTCCGCTTTTTATAAAAACTTAAAAAATATAGATAACAATATATCTTAAAAACAATATTTCCTATGACTCATGATCCATAAAAATATTTATAAAATATAAATCACTTAAAAAAACAAATTTTTATCCAATAGGGTCTTTTAAATCTATTTTATAAGAATTATATTCATTTATCATTTTATCAAAGCAATTTATAGCCTCTTAACATTAAAAAAGTTACCATATTTTCTCTTTTGCTAATTTTTCTTGATTTTTATCAAATTCAGCTGAGGCTCCTCCAAAATTTATTAATAAATTTACTTCTAACTCAGCCAAATGCCAAGATTAAAGTTTTATATTTTATTCCAAGCTTTTTAGTTCATTGTTTTATTTATAAGGCCTTCCTCTAAAAGAAAATTTCTTTTATTTATATTTTTTTTAAATTTATTAATACTTTTTTATTATTTTTCCATTAAATTATAAATAGTATGATATAAATTTATTTCCAATATTTTTATATTTAAATTATTTTATTTTATTTTAAAAAAATAGTATAAAAAGAAAAAAATAAATATATAAATAAATAATAATATATTCAAGCACCATATTTGGGTAATTTATTCATTTTAAATATGATTTCTCTAAAAAAGAAAGCCGCATTAATAATTCCATATCCAATATTTTCCAACTAATTTAAATCTCCAAAAACTTCATTAAAACTTTAAATAGAATCTTATCTTACACCTTAAGGATCAAAAAAAACACTTAAACAGCTATATTTATCTTCCTAATAGAATTCTTGATTTAATTTTCCTTTATTTTATTCCCATGTTTACATAGGAATAAAATTCAAAACTTCCTTTTATTAAACCTTTTCTTTTTTTAAATTAAGGATATCCTCAACTTTAAAAAAAGGGCTAAAAACGGCATTAAAAATAGAATTATTATTCATAATTTTCTTAATAAAATTAATAACCTATTCAATTAAAAACTCTTGTTAATTTTCTCTAATTTCTAAATCAAATATAAGCAATTCTTTAAAACTTTTTAAAGAAATACTATCTTAGACATATTTTTCATCCCATTAATTCCAAAAAGTATGATCTAAATATATTTAAGAAGCAAAAGAAGCACTTTATATTGAATTCGTTATTAATAAACTTTATAAAGAATTCGAAATTTAATTATATTATTAAGGATTTTCAATAAATTTTATTTCATTTTATTCCTCGTCAAAATCATTTTCAGAAATTTTTATTTTTTAATTATTTTCTTTATAATAATTTGAATAGCTTTATTAGTATTTTTTCTTTTCTTTTAAGCTTTAAAAAAAATCTTCTTCTTTTTACATATTTGTGTCCTATTTAAAAGAAAATAAAGAGAATAATGGATTCTAAAAATGTTTTTTGGGATAAAATATACATGTTGATATCCCATTTTGAATTGCTTCTTTTAATAAAGGATATTTATCGAACTATTAAGGGTTTATTGATTCGTTTTTTATGTTTATATTTAAAAGAATATATTATCTTTTCATTTTATTTTTTCTAATATATATTTATCCAATTTTTATTTAAATAATTCAAATTTTACTCTAAAATAATTATTTAAATATATAATTTATTATAAACTAAATATTTTTTTAGGAAAAAAGATCATCTTATAATAAAACAAAAATATATGTTTTAATTAAATTTATTATTTTTAAATTAAAGTTATTTTTTTTTTTAAAACAAAAAGAAAAATAATTGCATTTTTTTTAAAAAAAATACTTCCATTTTATTTTTATTTTTTTAAGGCTTTATTTATATATTAAAGATAATTTTTCTATTTATTTATTTTATTTTATTTAAAAAAAAAAAAAAAAAAAAAAAAAAAATACTAAAAATAACATATTTTTTTTTTAAAAAAAAAATAAATAAATAAAAGCTCTTCCAAAATTAATAATTTTTTTTTTCAAAGATCAATTAAACTCTATCCTCTAATATCATTATAGCCAACCATTCCAGCAAAATAATCTTAATATTATTATCTTCTTCTTTATTCATCACTTAAATCTCCAATATGACTATAAAATCCATTAGTAGATCTCCAAGCACTATTATTTGAGTTCATAAAATAAAACTTACCCATTCCAAAAAATAATCCTCCAATGAATCCTATATGATGTGCAGCAGGATTAAAACATACAGCAAAAAGGAATTATCCAAAAAATGCATTTGAAAAGATTTCATAAGGCAAGCTAGGACCAGGTCTTAAAATAGCGTTATAAGTATAATATAATGATCCTATGCCAAAGCCAGTAAGGCCATAAGGAAGATATAATTCTTTTAATAAACTATTTTTTTTATTTCAAAGAAAAAAAAAAAAAAATGGCATTATATATATATATTAATATTTTTTTACTGTGCATGTCCAAAAGTATTAAGGTTAATATATCTCAGCATTTTCTTTAAAACGATCGACGGAATTGATTTATATGAAATAGATATGTATGCTGCAACTCCAAGTCCAAAAAGACCCCCCTTTAAGCCTGCAACAAGAGTATTTTTTACTTCCCAATGATGTTCATAAAACATATCTCTTGTTGCCCATATTTTAGCAGCTAAACTAGAGTTTTTCGGTAGGTGGATGGTATGGACTCCATTTATAACAGGAGCTCCTATAACTCCTTAATGATGGATGTCTTCTTATTCAACAGCGTTTTATGTCATTTTTTTATTTTTATTTTTTTCTTATTATTATATTATAATTGTATTTTTTTTATTTTTAATATATATATGTGTATTTTTTATTTTTTTAATTAAAAAAAAAAAAAAATTAACATTTTATTTTTATTTCGTATCGTTGTTAAATTAATAACTCCATAAAAGTTATTATCTTAACCATATCTCTTAACCATTTATCATATATTTTTTAATTTTTATAAACTTTATTATTTTATATAATATTTATAATTTCATTTTAAGATAAAATGAATTTTTGGTTAGTAAAAATATCAAAACTATTATATTATTTTAAAAAATGGTTAAATAATAGTTAATAAAAACATGATTTTAAGGTATCTTTAAAATAAAATCTAGAAATTAAATAAAAAACTAAATTATAAACTCTATTTATAATAATAATATAAACAATGTACTATTGAATTTAAACATAATTAAAATTTTATATAAACTAATTAAATATATTATAATCTATTTATTTATAATAATTATATGTTAAATGTAACATGTATAATGAAAAAAGCTGACTATAATCATTAATAGATTTACAAAACTAAATACTAGTTTCTAAAAACTAAAATATATATAATTTTTAAATTAATTTATAAGCTTAAAGATGTAAAGGCTATATAAATATACAATTTGAAATGATTATAATATATAATGAAACTTTATTTATATTTAATATTTTCTAAAAATATGTAGTTAAAAAAACTAATTAATTATTTATTAACTAATTCATATAATGTTAGATTATATTTTAAAAAGTTATTCGCAAAGAATGTAAAAAAAAAAATTATTAAATAAGTAATTTAAAATCGATATTTATAATTATATTTTCGTTAAGTTATTTAAAAAAAAAAAAAAAAACTAAATCTAAAAAATGCTTAAATATAAACTATTAGCAGATTAAAATTAATATATTTTTAATATTAAAAAATTTTGAACATAATCTGAAAAATATTATAAAACTAAAAAAATTATATTTTTTAAAAAAGAAATTAATCTTTTTAAATAATGAATAAAAAAATCAATTTTCACTAATAATAAATATTAAAAAAGCAATAATGTGCTTAAAACTAAAAATAAATAAAAAAATATATAGTTAAGCGTTTAAAATCCATATTAATCTACTTAACTAAACAATAATTATTAATTATATTAATTTATTAATATAATATAATAATAAAAAAAAAGAACACAAATATTTATATAACTATATAAAAAAAAAAAACTATGATTAATAAATAACTAATTTAAACTAAAAATACTACTAAATACTAATTTAAAAAAAATATTAATTTTATATTATTTTTATTAAAATTAATTAATTAATTATATGTTATTAAATATTAGTAATGTTCCTTAAACAAAACTTAACTTAGAAACTAAAATCTTAATATATTAATTAATTGAATAATAAGAGGTAATTAATCTAAAAATAATTTGAATTAATAATATTAAATAATATAATTAATTAAATTATCTAATATTTATATATCGCTTTTTTTTTTAATTACTTAAAATCTAATTTTCTAATATATCTAATAATAAATTTATTTTTCAAATAATAGGAAATAGAATTATAAAATAAAAAAATTTAATAATAATAAAATATAATAATTAATAATAAATAAAATCTTCCCATTTTTATAAAAACCTAAAAAAAAATACAATTCTATATATCATTTTTTATCTTTATTTTTACTAAAATATCTATCAATTTCTTAATGCCTTTAATCAATCTAAAAAAAAATCAATCATAAAAACAAGAAAAAAATTAATTATTTACTATATCTTAAGGTAAAATTTTATAATAAACAGGCGGATCAAATTTAGTTTTTTGAAAATTCTTACTTATATTTAAAAAATATTGTTTATTAGTATAACTTCTGCTACTATATTTTTCCTAAGAAGAATATACAGTATTAGGACTTCTTTTATATCTATCATCATGACTTTTATATATGCTATCGTTTCTTTCTCTACTATAATTTTTTTCTCTTCCATATCTATTTTCAAATTCATTAATTTTACCTCTTTTTGCATATTCGCTCTCCACAACAAATTTCTCTTATTCTGGTCTTGTAATATTTTGAGATTATTATATTTATGTAATTATTTCTGCTACTTAAGTATTTCTTATTAACCTTACTCTTAATTTGTCTCCTTTACTATCAGGCCATCTCATATTATCAAATTTTTAAAGAACGTGTATACAATCAGGTTAATTACTATACTTTATATTTATTTATTTTTGATTTTTTTTATTTTTTTAATATATTATATATCTATATTTAAATATATTTAAATTTTTAGATTTACAGTAACTACGCAAGTCTTACTTCTTTTATTTATCCAAAACTTAGTTATTGTTCCTCCTTAACATCGTATTAAATTTTCGAATTCTTTATATGAATCTGGATCACTTATATTTTCTACTTATAAACTACATTATTCATCTACATTTTTAAATTTTATATCTTTATTAGATATATTTTATCTGCTCCTGCTTCTATTTGTATGGCTGCTCATTATTATTTTTATGTTTTAATAATTATGTTGTTTTTGATTTTGATTTTTTTTTATTTGTGGAAAAAATTTAAAACAAAGAAGAAAAATTATTTTTTATTTAAAAAAATTAAAATAAAAAATTTATTTAATATTTTTTTTTTTTTTATTAAAAATTATATGTATAAAATATTTATTTAAATATAAATAATTTTTTTTAAAATAAAAAAATCCTTTATATTTTATTTTAAAATTATAAAGAACAATATTTTAATGTTTATTTAAAAAAATATATATATATATATATATAAATATATATAATATTATATATATATATATATATCTCAATATATTTATATATAAATATATATATATATAATTTAAAATATATCTTAATTATTTTTTATTTTTTTTTAAAAAAAAAAATATATAATAAAATTAAAAAAAAACAAAATCAAATATTAATATTATTATCTTTCTTTATTTTATTAATTTAATTTTAAATATTAATTGGATTAATCCATGTATCTTATAATATCTAAAAAAAAATTAAAAAAAATAATTTAAAATTAATAACCTAAGTTGCATTAACTCTGTCTTCAAAATTAATATTTAAAATTTTCTATAAAATATATTTCGCGCCTGCACTAACATGAGGAGGGAATTTTAAGTTACATTTTTAAATTTCCCTAAATAAAGATTTATCATCAACACCTTTAAAAGGAAAGGTCCCGCACAACATTACATATAGAAGTATTCCAGCAGCCCAAATATCAACTAATTATCCATTATAATATTATTTAGAGACCATTTCAGGAGCCATATAACCTAAAAAATATAAAAAAAATAAATTATGAAAGTAAAAATAATTATTTTAAAAAAAAATTGACTTAAAGTTCCACAAAATACCTTTAGTTTGTTATCTGGAGGATTAATAATAGAAAATCCAAAATCAATAATTTTAATATTATTATTTTAATCTAATAAAATATTTTCTAATTTTATATCTCTATGTGAAATATTATTCTAATGCAAATATTCTAAACCTTAAATAATTTATTTAAAAATGCGTTTCGCTTCTATTTCTGATAACTTTTTATCTGTCTATTATTTTAAATATGAATAAAGAGAATTTTTTCCAACATATTCCATTACAATATTTATCTATATATATGTAAATATGTTATATGCATATATGTATATAAGTATATATGTAAATATGTATATATGTATGTATATATTATATCTATATATATATTTTTATGTATTCATATTTACTTATCTTGTTGTATCTATTATTTTTATTAATTTTATTACATTTTAGTTATCTATGTTTTCTAATATTTTAATTTCTCTTTCTACATTTTTTTTTTTTTAAGCATCAAATAATTTGAATTTTTCATATATTTTCACTGCCACTTTTTGATTAGTTTATTTATCTATTCCTAATTTTACTTATGCATAGCTACCGGTTCCTTCATTTTATTTTATCGGAATATTTTATTATATTTTTTTTTTAAATTACCTATTATTTCTCCTAATTAATAATTTTCTAAACAATTTATTTTAGCACGTACTTAAGAATTTATATATTAGTTTTATTTTATTTTTTATGTTTAACTATTTTCTTTTTCCTATTTAAACTATATTTTTAATTAATAAAATAGGAATATTTTTTATTAAAATATATAAAAAAATAATAATAATAAAATATTTATATACATGCCTTATATTTTCTTTTTAAAATATATTTTATTTAAAATAATTTTAAATATTTTCAAATGAGTTTTAAAATTATCACAAAAAATATTATTAAATATAAATAAATTTCAAATGGTTATAATTTTATATAAATTATACATATAAATAATCAAATATAATAAATATACTTTATTTTAAGAGCAGATAACTGTTTATTTCTAATTACCAGTTTTTTTATTTTAATCATACAATTTAATTTGTTAAATAAAAGGCATTGTAGTAACTTATTATTTTAAATTTCTAATTTGAGGAGGTTTGATTGAATATGCTTATTTTATTTATTTTTCTATACTTGGTTATAATTACAACTTATTATTTTTTTCCATTTAATAATAATTATTTTATAAAATTTATAATTAAAAACATTATAAAAAAAAATAATTAATTTTTATATAATATATATTAAATATTAAATTATAATTTTATTTAAGTTTTAAAATAAATTATTATATCATAATAATAATATATATATAAATATATTTTTTATATATTTTAATCTTTATATTTTTTTTCATATAATTACAAGCAAAAAAAGAAAAAAAATTATATAAATGAATTCAGTTGTATTTTTTAGTATTCTAATTAAAATAATTATTTGTATTACATGTTTTATTTTTATATTGTTATTTTTGACTATTTTTTTTTCAAAAATAATTAAAATAAAAAAAAACCTTGTATAATTAAAAGTATTATCTAAATTAACATAAGTTTAATAAACTTAAGGTTTTTATGATTATTTATGATAATTAATATTATTGCTACTTAATATTTATTTTTAATTTAAAAATAAACTTTCTTTTTGGTTCTATTATTTAATAAAATTTTTTTTATCATTATCTAACAAATTAATAAAATTATTAATATCACTTTTATTTATATTATTATTATTAATATTATTATTATTATTATTATTATTATTAATATTATTTTTAATATTATTATTATTATTAATATTATTAATATTATTATTTTATTTATAAGTAAATCCACAATTTTTATTTTATTAGCAAGAATAGAAATCTTCATTTAAATATATTTTAGCAACATTTAATTTCATATTATTTTCATTTTTTTAAACGTCTGTAAGTAACATTTTTTTTATTGGATTAGTTCTTATATCCTAAATTAGTTTTTTCTTGTTAGATAATAGATTTATATTACTATTACTTTCACATAATTGTTATTTTTTTTCGCTTAATTTTCTTATATTCTAAACATTTTATATCATTGATTAAGGTAAAGCATTTATTATTTAATTATTTTCTTTATTTTTTTATAAAGGACTGTATGCGCTTTCTGTTAAAGAATTACTTTGTTGTCCCCAAATTCCTTTATTTTAATATAAATTTTTGGACAAATCATTATTTTCATATTTTTCGCTTATAGATCTACTACTTAATTAATTATTTGTCCCTCTGTCAAGATTTATTTTTGAAAGAGGAATTGATTTATTAATTATAAAAGTTTTTTTTTCTAATTCAGGAATATTTTATTTATGATTTATTTATTTAGTATAAGATTAAATAGAATGCATAGAAACACCTTAATAACTTTTTTTTTTTTTAACAAAAAAAAAAAATTATATAATCAAATTAAACGAAATTATTTATTTAAATAATAAAATAAAAAACTTACCTAAAATCATTAATTTATGAATTATTATCTGAATTTTAAGTTGCAAATTATTCCAATTAATTAACTAAAACCTTATTTGGACCACTATAGCTACTATTGAGGGAAGAATAAATACTTGTTTTTTCATTTTTTTATGTTTTTTTTAATTTTGACCATTCACCTTCTAACTCATTTATTGACAAGAAAATTTTATTATTTTATTATTCATTACTTAATTTACTGGCTTTACTCATTTCTCTTTATCTATTTAAGTTTATTTTTAATACCGTTTTAGGGGAAAATTAAGTCTTTTAAATTTAATATTATTATAATGTACTTTAAGTTAAGTTATTGTTATTTGTATATATATGCTTATGTGATGAAGTAGATATCATAGGATTTGGCTACGTAGGTATTCTAAAACTTTAATTATTTGATAATGTCAATATTTAGTGTTTTTGTGATATTAGGTTTAAAGGAGTTTTTATTTGTCTTATGAAATTATTATCTAACATTTTTTTTAATTTATTATATTAATTATAATTTTTGTTTTGTTTTGTTTTTTTTTCGAATGAAGAGATAATATTTTTTATTAAATTATATAATTGTTTTTTCTATATTTTTTTTTATTATTATCAGCAATTTAGTTATAAATTATTTTATTATATATTTATTTAATTATTTTATAAACAATTTTTTTTATAATAAAATATAATTTCAATTTTTTTAATAAATTAATAATGATATTATATATTTATTTACGTAATATATAGTTAATCATATTTTTTTAAATATTTTATAAAAAAGTCAAATTTATAATTAAAAAATATTTAAAGGAGAAAATTTTATAAAATAGAAAATATAATTAATTACAAATATATATATATTAAAAAAATAATATCATTAAAAGTCATATAATATAAAATAAAATAAAAAAACATAATAAACTAAACATAATATTAAAACAAAAACTCATAAATCATAAATAAAAAATGAATTATTTAAAAGACACATCTTTCATAATAAAAGAAGAATAAAAATCAAAAGAGTAAAGTCCTCAAAACAGGTCTAGTTCTGAAATTTAAAGTGATACAAAAACATTTTAAATATCAATTGAGTAATCAATAAAAAACACTATTCAATTACATAATAACCAATAAGAATAAAAATCTGCTATTAACAATCAAAAAGACTAACCAATTTATAAAACAATTGTAACTGCTCCTTAAAAAACTCCGACAGAAGAAAAATCTGAACTTTTACTTTAATAATCTTAAGATTTAGAAAAAAGCACTGGATTATTAAGAATGCGCCCTAAGAAATTTTCAACTAAATTTGATATTATAAAGAACATAAAAAGAGTATCTTAAACAGAAGGTGTTAAAAGTCTACTTAATTATAATAAAGAATGGGCAGAGAAAATAAAAATAACTGAACCTTAATTTTTTAAATAATTATCTGAAGTATAAAATCCTAAATATTTATGGATAGGTTGTTCTGATAGTAGAGTACCTGCAGAAAGATTAACAGGATTAGGTCCTGGAGATTTATTTGTACATAGAAATGTAGCTAATTAAGTTATTCATACTGATTTAAATTGTCTTTCAGTAGTTTAATATGCTGTAGAAGTTTTAAAAGTATCAGATATTATTATATGTGGACATTATAAATGTGGAGGAGTGCATGCAGCCGTTAAAAATACTAAACTTGGTCTTATAAATAATTGGTTACATCATATAAGAGATATATATTTAAGATATAAAGAAAGATTAGATTAAATTTAAAATTTTGAAGAAAAATGCGATAAAATGTGTGAACTTAATGTTATTTAATAAATTTATAATTTAGGTAATTCTAGTATTATTTAAGACGCTTGGGAAAAAGGGTAATAAGTAGCTATTCATGCTTGGATATATGATTTAGAAGATGGGCTTATTGAAGAAATTGATTATGCAGCGAAAATAAAGGAAGTTAGAGATAAAAGACATGATTTAGCTGTTGATATGCTATTGGATGATATTTAAAATTGTAAAAGTTTCTCAGAAATATGATTCTTTTCAATTATATATATAAAAATATATATATATATATATATATATATATATATTATACATATATTCCTTTTATTTCAAATAATTATAATTAAATATATGTATATATATAAATATTTTTATTTTCATATTTTAATTATTTTATATTTTTCTGATATTTTTTATTAATATAGTTATTATTTATATTATTTTACTAAATACTTAATATTTTTTATTATTATTTTATAGATTTTGTTATAAAAAATATTATTTCAAATACAAGAAAGAATTAGAAGTTAATTACATGAATAAAAAAATTTCCAAATTAAAAAAATTTCAAAATAACCATTATAAAATTTAAAATTGTCCTATCAAAATTTAAAATAATACTAAAATTCTTCCTTCAAAGCTTAAAATATTTCCAAAAACTTAATTTTAAAAATAAAAAAATGATATTTTACATTCACCTCTTCTATTAAAAAATATTTAAATTGATGATGAATAATGCGTAAACCACTTTTGCTTTCCATAAAAATGTTTAAAAACAGAAGATAAAAATTCTTAAAGTCCTATATAAGAAAACGATAATAATACTGGAGTTCAAGCTTTATTAAGTTACAATAGAGAATGGGCTAAAAAAATAAAAATAACTGAACCTTAATTTTTTAAATAATTATCTGAAGCTTAACACCCTAAATTTTTATGGATAGGTTGTTCTGATAGTAGAGTACCTGCAGAAAGATTAACAGGATTAGGTCCTGGAGATTTATTTGTACATAGAAATGTGGCTAATTTAGTGATTCATACTGATTTGAATTGTCTTTCAGTAGTTTAATATGCTGTAGAAGTTTTAAAAGTATCTGATATTATTGTATGTGGACATTATAAATGTGGAGGAGTGCATGCGGCAGTTCAAAATACTAAGCTTGGTCTTATAAATAATTGGTTACATCATATAAGAGATATATATTTAAGATATAAAGAAAGATTAGATTAAATTTAAAATTTTGAAGAAAAATGCGATAAAATGTGTGAACTTAATGTTATTTAATAAATTTATAATTTAGGAAATTCATCTATACTTTAAAATGCATGGGAAAGAGGTTAAAAAGTAAATATTCATGCCTGGATATATAATCTAAATGATGGAATTATTTAATAAATTGATTAAGCAACAAAATAAAGCGAAGTAAAGGATAAACGATTTAATTAGGCTATTAATAGTCTTATTGATAATTTAAAATTATGTAAAAGCTATTAAGAATTATAATGATATTTATATATGTATTATTTAAATATCTTATTTTTATTTTTATTTTTATTTTATTTTTATTATAAATTTCATTTTTTTGTTTAACCTTTATTTCTTATCATTGTTACGTCTTGTCTTATATGTCTAAATTCTCCAGGAATATTATATCTTTTTTACATTACATTTTCATCTTTTTTATCTTTTTTTAATAATATATAAAAAAATTATTTCAAAATAATTTGAATTGTTTTCGTTTACATCTAACAACATTTAAACTTGTTGAAATATCATGATTTAAAACTTAATTTATGTTAGTTTTATAAGTTTATAAAGAATCAAAAGGAACTATTCCATTTACTTTATTCATTTCATTATTTTATTATATATTTTTCTCCGCAAAAAATATAGCCTTATCATAATAAGGTAACCAAGATCTCTAAATTGCAGTATTATCTTTAGGATCAATACCTTTATATAAGAATATAAAAAAATAAATAAATATAAATATATATATATATATATATATATATATATATTTAAATATATATGTAATTATATAAAATATTATAATATAATTTTTTAATTAATTTTTTTAAAATTTTTTTTTTTTAAAAAAAATTATAATAATATTTTTTTATTTTTTTATTTTTTTATTAAAAAAAAAAAAAAAAAACAATAAGATTAAGTAAAATATATATATTTATTAATATAGATATATTTATGTATATTTATTTATTTATATATATATAAATATATATATATATATTTATAAATATATTTATATATATATTTTTATTATATTTATTTATTTACTTATTTATATATATTAAATTTATTAAATTTAATAATATTTTTTTTACCATTTTTATATTTTTCTGCCGTTAAAATTGAAGTCATTTTCAAACATTATTAATTATAAGGTCTTTCATTAGTTCCTGCTAAATTAATAAGTTTTTTTTCTCTTGCAGATATAATTTCATTTGCTGTTTGTTTTAAAGGACGAGAAAATGAATGTTAATAATTAGTTATTCCATAACTTTAATAATAGTCAAATAAATTAATTAATTTATTTTTTTTTTTACAATTTTTCATGTGATTCTGGGAATTTTTTAAATGTAGAACCAAAATCAGTAACATTTGTTAGACCTTATCTTTCTCTTTATATATGCTAAACATTTTTACCATTTAAAAGAGTATATTTATCACTTCTTTGTGTTTGAATTTGATTCGGATTATTTTCTGGATATATATTTTGTTTAATTTATGTTTTATTTATTGAACGACAATCTTATAATTTATAAAAATTATTTAAATTTATAGGATCATATGTAGTTTTATTTATTGATCTATATTCTCTCTAATTTTTTTTTTATTTTTTTATTTTATATTATCTATGGACAAAAATAACACATATATTTTATTTTTTTACAAACCCATCATCTATTAATATATCTTTTGTGGCCCAATATTAATTTCTATTTACCCTTTCTAAAGGTATTAATTAATTTGTTTTAGATTCAAAAGATATTGTAGCTTCTTCTTCACGTATCTTTTTTGGTATATGATTAAACAAAAATAGATTTAATTTTTACTGTTTTTGATTATATATTTTCCCTAAAAGGTTATATTGGTGCAAGTCTTTCCTCGTACCAATTTCCTATTTCAAATAATTAAATTTAATTGATGATTTTTTTTTAAAAAAAAACCCATTAATGCACTACATGTAAATTTATCACAAGCTTAAGCCATTCTATATACAGTATAAATTAAGATAAAATCAAATAATATAGTTTTTTGTTTTAAAAATAAAATAAAATAAAATAAAATATGAGAATATTTTAATAAATAATATGTAAAAAAAAAAAAATCAAAGCACAATTTTATCCAATCTTCTTTTGCAATCTAAATAACACATAGCATCGTCATAACTATGAGGAACGATTTTTCTTAATTACGTATTATTATTAGAAATAAGTGTAATATGTAAATCATTAGTTTTAGTTTTATTCATTTTCAAGTCCATAATATTACAATCGACTCTAATTTACATTATATTTTTATAAGTATATCCTATTTTAGCTTCGAAATTTAAAACTGAACCCACTGGTACAGGTTTAAGGAATTAAAAGTCATCAATATTATAAGTAACAGGAAAATCTCCTTAACTATGAATAAGTCCAACAAGCCATCCGATTTCAAAGGCTTCTCTCATTAAATTACCTCCGAATATTTTTCCATGAATATTCCTATCTTATTTATGTGTAAGTATATTTTTCACTAACTAAGTTTATTTCAAATCTACATATGATTCCTAATTCTATTTAAAAGTTTCTGAATTTGTAAAAAACTCATGAATTCCCTATATTTCTTCTTAATTAGGTGCTTTATTTTATAAAGATAAATTTTTTTAAGATTTTCGAATTTAAGTATTTTTAACTCCTATATATTGTCTCATTTCGCATCTTGAAATGTTATCTTCGCCTTCAAATTTTAATATAGGAACTTAAAAGTCTTATTTTTATATTTCATTATTAGGTTTGGCCACCATTAAGAATTAAGCACTTGCTTTTAATTCGTCATTTTAAAAAAGTTCTAATTAAATTTCAATTGAAGTTTTTCCTACATAAGTAACATAGCCTAAATATTATTTTTATAAATAAATTTAATTATTTATATATTTTTTTAACCTTATAAATGTAAATCAATATCATTTTATAACTAAGAAAATATATTTACACTATCTACACAAGCAGTTACTATTGTAACTAATCTTTGTCCTAAATCAGAATAGCAATATCTAAATAATAAATATATATTAATATAAATTAATAAATACATATATACTTATATGCTATGTTTGCAGCTACATAATCCATCATTTCTAACATTCTACCGATTCTTATACTATCTGAAAAATAATTACAGAATCTGTCTCTTACTTGTAAATTTTTTTAGAATGGAATTATTATTTTATAATAAGAGTTTCTAGGATAATTTATTTCTTTGTTGGATTTATCTAAATTTTTATGTTCAAAAATTCTAATTTACTAAGAATCACTATTAAAAAAACCTTTTGTTATGTATTCTTGTTTAACTTATTCAGGAGTCAATTCTCTTAATTAATTTTCAGAGACTTTCATTAAAATCTCATTGCATTGGACTAAATTTAGTTTATTTCTTATTTATAAGAATTCAAATTTATCAAAACTAAAATTACATTTACGTTTATAAAATAAAAATTTGGTTGAGAATTAAAAAAATTTATTCATTTTATAATTTAAAGAGTGTTTTAATTACAATATATAAAAATATATTATAATATCTATATTATATATTAATATTAATTATATTATATAAAAATAATGTATATATATATATATGTATATATAAATATATTTATATATATATATATATAATTTTTTTTCCTTAAAAACAATTTAAAATATTATATATATTATTAATAAAATATATAATTTTTAGAAAATTATTATCATATATTCAAATGATTTAAATCATATATTTAATTTTATGTAATTCTGAAAATATAATTTATTACTATTCCGATAAAGAGTCCAACTAATATTTATATAACTAATTATTTATAATTTTTTTTCTGATGCTTTTATTTTTGCTAAGGAATCATGCTTTTTTTTTGCAATTAAGAGTTTATTTTTTAATTTTCTTTTTATAAAGTTTTATACACGTTTTCTTTTTCATATATTTTTTTTTATAAATTTTCATAATTATATTATAAATCCTAATATTTGCTTGTAATTTATTTTTAATCTAATAAGTCAATTTAGTATTAAATTTATTACTTTTAAATAGTACTTCCGTTCTTATTTTTATTATTTATTTAAAATAATAAAACTTATTATTACATTTTTGTACTAAGATTAATACAAACTGTTTTCTGGTGAGTTTTTTTATTTAAGAAAAAGATTATTAAGAACATTTTTATTATCTTATGAAATAATCTCAATTTTAATTCTTCCTAATTCTTATTTTACAATATTATTTGAATTTTATTTGAAAATTTAATCTAAATTTAGATTATTAACCTTTAAAAATATTACAGATATTTAAACAAAAAAATATATATAAATGTATTTACATTATTTAATTAACAAATCATTATTTGAAAAGAATCTTTAAACAAATTATTTTTTAATAACTATTTTTATTTATTAATAATTTATGTTTAAAAATCTTACTTCAGGATTTAATTCAAATTTTATTTTTTATTAAGATTTAGGATTAATAATGCTTGAATGGGGGAAAATTTTATATTTTGTTTGATCTGTAGATTTTATCTTATTTTCATACAATATTTTTTATTTAAATAATTATTTATTTTTATAATACTTTATATGCTTAATAATTTTCTGAATCGTTTATTAATGTTATTTCTGAATTTAAAAATTGATCAGGAAAATATTTAAACTTAATTGATTTATCGCTTAGTTTTAATAATGTAATATTCGAATATTTTCTATATTTATATTTTAATTTTTTTAAAAATAAATTTAAAAACCATTTTTTTATTAAAAATATACTAATTGTTAGCCGGCATCTTATTTTATTATTATTTAAATTAAATTGTTTTAATTTTTTTATTTTCCATTTAAATAAATAATTTTATATTTAGAAAATATATTTATATAAAATAAAAATGTTTTAATTATTTAAAAAATAAACAAAACAAGAAAATTCTAAATAATTATTTAATATATAAAATTTATATTATTACATAGTAATGTTATAAATAAAATATATTATAAATAATTTATATCAAATTCTTAAAATAAACTTATACTATCCAACTAATTATAAAAGAATCCTTTTATTTTTAAATATAAGCGTTTAATATTCGTAAATAATATATATTTTTGCAAACAATTAATTATAACAAAAAAAAGTAAATAAAATATAAAAATTAATATATTTAGATATAAATATTTAATATATAATTAAAAAATGCTAACAAATTATATAAATTAATAATAATTTAATTACAATCCCTAATAAAGAATTTATATTATTAACGAAAATAGGCTAACCTAACAATAAATATAACTAAAGGAAAATAATTTTAAAGATCTTTACAATAATTGTCCTTAAAACGAGGTAGCATTAATAATATAATTCAATCTAAGAAATTCAGATAATCTAAATAACAATAACAAATGGGTATTTCAGTAATCTCTAAAAAATTTAAGTAGAATTGTTTAGCATTATAATTTACATTAACTGAATAAATTGATATATGCGATATTTTTTACGAATTCGGTTGCAATACTTAAATTATTCATCAATTTTTTTTTATCTATTTACAGGATACGGAGAATTCAAAATAGATTATGAATTTTCTTTCTTATTATTTACATGCTTGAAATTATAAGTAAAGAATCCTTTTAATATATTGTAATAACCTTAAACATAAACAATAATATAAGACAATTGTTTTTAATCTTTTAAAGAAACAGTTATTCTATTAAAATAATTTTAAAATAATATATTTAATATAGATTTTTAATTGAAATAAATATTGTTTGCATCTTACATAAAAAAATGTGTTTTTAATTCTTTAAAGTTATTATAAAATGAAATTCCTTAAAATATTTCTGAATTAAATATTTAATGGTTTACTTAAGTAAATGATAATTATTTTAAAATGGTAATTTTTGACTAAAAATAAAATGGAAACTAAATAAAAGATTATTATAAAAATTGTCATATTTTTTATGAGTTTTTATGTAAATATTTTATAAACGATTAAAATTAAATTAATTAAATTTATAATTAAAAAATTGAAAGTATAAAAGATTTTCTAATAAACTAGAATGTATATGAAGCTTGCAAATTAATTTCTATGAATAATTCTTAAATTGTCGACTAAATTTATGAATTAAAAAAGTTAATTGAAAATACTAAAAAACAACAAGAAGATTTGTTGCTTAAAAAAAAAGCTTTAGAAACTTAACAGTTATATTTGAAATAATAAAAAAATAATTTCTAAGGAGATATACTAGAAATTAATTGATTTTTTTTTATACATATATATATATATATATATTCATGTTTTTTATTTTTATTTTAATAAAAAAATAAAATATTAATTTATTTTATTTTAAAAAAATAATTTATTTATATAAAATAATTATTATTTTTTTTAAAAAAAGTTTTTTTTTTTTAAACAAAAAAAAGTTTATATATGAAAATATTATTAGTTTCGATTTTTTTTTAATTATAAATATTAGACTTAATTTTTATTTTATTAATAAATAAAATTTCTCATAATTATTATTCTTTTTAAAAAAAAAATATTAACAAATAATTATTTTTTATAAAATGAACTTTTTAAATTATACATTTTTAATAATAAATATTTTTTAGTGGTATATTTATTTTTTTTATTAAAGAAAAAATAATCATATTTTTGAATAAAAAATAAATAAACAATATTAAAATGTCAGTAGAACAAAAGTTTTAAATATTAGAAAAATTAGGTTTATTTTTTATTTCTATTAAAAAAGTCATAAAATATAAAGGTGAAGGAGCATATAGTATAGTATACAAAGTAAAAAGAAAAAAAGATAAACAAATATACGCATTAAAGAAAGTAAACCTAGAAAAACTTTCAGAAAAAGAAATAGAAAATGCATTAAATGAAGTAAGAATATTAGCATCTTTAAAATCAACCAATATAATAAGTTATAAAGAAGCATTTATAGATTAAAAAGATAATAATTTATGGTTTTAATAAAAAAAATAAAAAAATATACAAACAAAAATTTTAGTATAATAATGGAATATTGCGATGATGGTGATTTACTTTAAAAAATAATGGAAAATTAAAAAAACGGTTCATTTTTTCAAGAAGAAGATATATGGAATATATTCATACAAGTTTATTTTTTTTCCCCCCCTCCAACCAACATTCCCACTCCTAAAAAAAAAAAAAAAAAGGTAGTAAAAGCACTCGAAATTTTACATTAATTAAAAATCCTTCACAGAGACATGAAAAGTGCAAATATTTTCTTAAACAAAGACAAAACAATAAAATTAGGTGATTTAAATGTTGCTAAAATAAAAAAAAAGGGTTTTCTACATACTCAAACTGGAACTCCATATTATGCAAGGTAAAACTTAATAAAATAAAATTTCAATAAATTAAAAAAAGTCCTGAAGTATGGAAAGATGAACCTTATGATGAAAAATCCGATATATGGTCTTTAGGTTGTGTTTTATATGAAATGGCGAGTTCTCATCCTCCTTTTAGGGCTTAGGATTTAAATGGACTTTTTAAAAAAGTTACATCTGGTGTTTATGGAAAAATTCCATCTTTTTATTCAAATGACCTTTAATTTATTTTAAAATAGCTTTTATAAGTAAAGCATTAAAGTAGACCTAATGCTTAATAAATACTTTCTTATAAGTGTGTATTTAAAAGAATTAATGATGCGCATTTATATGAAATAGAAAAAGTAAAAGATGAATAAGATTTTTTACTTAAAACAATTCGTATTCCTAAAGATTTTCTATTTTTTAATGAAAGGTTACCTAAAGCTTAATATTAAAAGTATAATTTAGTAAAGGTATTAAAGGAAAATTTAGTCCCTTAAGAATCTTTTTGGTTACCAAAAATTCAAAATTTAAGATTTTCCAGTTTAGATGTTGTTTAAGGAAATAATAAAAATAATGAGGAAGATATTATTTAGAAAAAAAAAGTGCATTAACATAGTATGAGTGTAGGAAAAAAATTAAAAGTTCTATAAACCCCACAAAAATAAAATATTAATACTTATCCTTAAAAATCAAAGCATATTGTTAATTTAAACTTAATGGCCAATATATAAGAAAGTTATTAAAAGTAATTTTTTTTTTATTTTAATATTATTTAAATTCTATATAAAACAAAAATATAAAAAGTAAATTACCTTAAATTAATTAGAATAATAGTTAATAATAAATTGTTAATGGAATAAGTAAGTATGCTATTGCTGATAATAGATACTAAAATAATCTAAATAGAAATTATATTAATATTAAAGAAAAATATATGTAAATTAAAAAATTACAAAATTTGTCGCCTAAAATTGAAATTTCTAATATTTTCCTAAAACCTAATAACAAATGATAAAAAATAAAAAAAAATTTAAAAGATAAAATAATTAAAAATTAAAAATTATATATATATATTATTTTATTAATAAAAAAAAAATATTTGTTTTTATTGTTTTTTTTTTTATTTTTATTTTTTTTTTTAAAAAAACTTTTTTTTATATATATTTTTTAACAAATATATATTAATATAAAATGTAATAAACAGAAAATATAGAAAGACTTTCGAATGAAATATAAGTGTTAAAATAATTAAATTTTACAAATAAATTTAATAATACATTAAAAAAACCTTAATTATTTACTTCGAATATACAAAAAGAAAACGATTTTTTTGAATTTTATAAAATATCTCATAAACAAACTTAAAATAATAAAAATTATAATATTTAATAAAAATATAGAAATAATTCAAAACTTTAATAAAACAAGAGATTATAAGTATAAAGTTAATATAATATACAAAAGTTGGAATTTGAAAGTTTACAAAATGACATTACTTTTTTAATGAATATTATAAATACAAAAAATAAAAAAGTAAATAAAAGATATGAAACTTTTTAAGATGAGGAAGTCTTATTTGATACAAAATTAACATTAAATAGTTATGGACATATAAGTTATAAATTATAAAAAGCTAATTTAAACATTTAAAATGTAAATTTAAATATATTTTTATTTACTTTTAAGTTATAATATAGGAATAATATAAATAAAAAAATATAAATGAAAAATTTTTAAACAATAATATTGAAACTATTTAAACTAAAAAAAAAATATAAAATAACTTCATGGATACTATATAAAAAAAAATTTAAAAATTAGAAGTTTTAAAGCAATTAAGTGCATAAACAACACCAAAAAAATAATTATTTTAATAAGATAGAAGCTATTCAACAAAATACATATTGTAAAAAAATAATATTATATTATTAATAATTCAAAAAAAATAAAAATATTTAAAAATATAAAATAAATTATATTTAAATTAATATATAAAAAATTAATATATTTGTTAAATATTTATTTTATTTTAATTTTCAAATAAAATAGAAAATAAGATGGTTCAATCTATGATAAAATAAAAAAACCTAAATTAAGTTCTTTAAAACAAAATAAAGTTAAAAAAATATTAATAAAAATAGAAAATGAAAATAATATATAAAAAGTTTAGTCTTTTATAATATGAATATTTCAAATAAAATATATAAATACATATATATATATCTATATTAATTAATATATAAATATAATTAATTATAAATATTTATATATATAATATATTTTTTAATTTTTTTTTTTTTTAAATTATGTATAAAAATATTTATAATATTTTTTATATATATTATAAATATATTTTTTTTATTTATTCATTTTTTCACAATATAATTTACATTAATTATTTATTATTATATTTAGAAATTATATCATTATATGTAACTTTTTTTATTTAATCCTTATTTTTAGTTTTTATTTTTTTTAAAAACAAAAAATATTTCAAAATTATAATATAATACTTAATTTTATTTTGGATATTTTTTTTTTTATATATATTTTTAGATATTTTTTCTCCCTTATTAAATTAAAAGTTCTAAACAAAATAATCTTAAATTAAAATTTTTTATTAAGAATATCTTAATCCAGGTCTAATTACAAGTCCTACTTTTTTATTTATTTATTTTTTAATGTCATTAATATATAATGTATTTATTATTCAGTTAAAAGTAAACTTTTAACTTGTCGTATAAATTGATATTATTTTTAGCTTCATAAAAATAGTTATTTTTAATAAATTATTTTTGTATTAAAAGAAAAAGAAGATAGAATAGTATAAATTAAAAAAAATATATATTTTATTAAATACTTTCATTTTTTTAATTTACAGATTTATTTAGAATTTTTTTAAAACTAATTAAAGTTTTTATTCTAAAGCTAATTTATACTTTACTTAATTATGGATTAGAATATATACCTGGCACCTCTTTTAAAAAAAATAATATAATATTTATAATTATTTATTTATAAAGTAATAATCATCACAATTTAAATATTTAAATTTACTAATTGTCAAATATATTGTATAAGCTTATTAAAACTTATAATAATTTTGTTAAAATATATAATTTTATGTATACATTATATAATATTTATTATTTTTGATTCTAAATCCTTTTTCTAAAAATACATAAAATTTAAAACAAATTTAAAATGAAATTAAAATTTTATTAAAATTAAAATTATTATTATCTTAATGATAATCACTTTTTATTATTTGTATTTTTATTATCTAAATTTATGAAATATTTTATGATTAAGCTTTTAAAAATATATTAAGGATAAAATAAAAAAAATAAGTTTAAGGAATATGAATTTTAATTATAAAATAAAAATAAGATATAATTACATTTTTTTTAAATTATAATAAATAATATTAACTAAAAACAAATAATTAAAAAGATAATTTAATCATATTCTAATCAAAATATACAATAATTAGAAAAAAGTAAAATTAGAAAAAAAAAAAAAAAAATTATAAAAAGTAAAAATTATTTTATATACATACAAATGTTATAAATAATCATTATATATAAATCAAATTTAAAGTAATTAAATAAAAATAGTATTTTCTAAATGTGATTAAATAGAAAATTAATATTAATTAAAGATTCATAATGTTTATTGCAAATTTTGCGGTTATTTTTTTAAAAAAACTTTGATAAAATATTTTATTTTTAAAATTTAAAATGTTAAAAAATATATATTATAAATAAAAGCAGAAAAATATAAATGGGATAAGAATATTAAATATAATTATGTTTAAAAGTAAATATATAAAAGTGAATTAATACAATTTTAAATAAATATTTATTAATATATATATATATATATATTATACTATATATAAAAAAATAAAACTTTTTTTTATAAAAATAAAATAGTTCTTTATTATCTTTTTATTATCAAATTAAAAAATTAATATTTTTTTTTTAAAAAAAAAAATAAAAAAAACTATGCCTATATTTATTTATTATTTTTTAATACTACAAATAAAAATAGCTATAAAAAAAAATTATTATTATTATTTTTAAATAAAAACAAACAAAAAAATAATTTATATGTATATATTATAAATTTTAACAAAAAACTAAAAACAATAAAAAAATGAAGAAAAATACCGGATAATTATCCTAAAGCAAGCCAAAAAAACAAAGCGCAAACGAAAAATAACGCCCAAAAAATTCAACAAAAATTACAAATTCAGAACGCTCTTAAAATTCAGCAAATTAAGAAAGACTTTAAAGCAATTCAGGCCGTTAAAATATTAATAAAATAACTAATTTAATGGATAATAATTTTATAATTAATGATAATGATCAACCCCCAATATTAAATATTTAATAATAAGAATTAATAAAAATAATATAAGATTATCTTTTAAAGATTAATTGTAATTAAACATATGAAGTTTTTATAAAAGAGATATCAATACCAAATAAATAATAATCATAAAAAGAGCATATATATAATAATATTATTAATGTAATTTTTATTTTTATATTTAAAATAATAAAATAAAAATATCTAATCTATAAAATATATGTATATATATATTTAGTCTTTTAATAAAGGAAACAGAGATTGCTTTTTTAATTATGGAAAAACCTTTCTCATCCTAAATAAGAACATGAATTAGACAAAGTATTTTTTATTATTATTTTTTTTAAACACAAAAAAAAACAAATTATAAATTTTTAAAAATATACTTTTTACATATACAAATTAGTTAGAATTTTACATTCAAATATATTTCCTTATTTATGATATTCATCCTTTATTTAAATAAAGACAATAAATTTTTCAAGAAAAAATAGATTATTTTAAACATTATTTAGATTCAAAAGGATCAGAATTAGCAAAAACAAGCGAATTATTATGCTTTTATGCACTTCCATATGTCTAAAAGCCATTATAACATGTCGGCTTTAAATAATTATTTGAAAAAAAATGGGTATAAGACTTATTAACAAAATTAAAAGAAAGATTAGATGCTGCTATAAAATAAGCAGATACATAAACAGTACTAGAATAAATGTATGAATATTATAAATAAAAAAATAATAACCAAAATTAGCCAATATAAGTAAAAATTGTTCAAAATAATAACAGTGTAAGTTATGTTTAATAAGACACATCCTAATTTTTAGGCGAAAATTCATATATGAATGATAATTTAAGAAATAATACTTAATATTTGACTATAATTTAAGAATTAAACTATAAATATAATAATTTACATAAAATTTATTTGTAGGCATAAGAATAAGCAAAATAAACAATTATGGATTCGCATTAAAAATGGTTTAAAATAGGACAAGATTTAGTTTCGCTATCTAAAGAAGTAATTAAATAAAAAATTAATAATATATATATATATATATATATATATAGATATATATATATATATATATATTTAATTAAATAAAGTTAATTATTTTGTCTGAAAAAAAAGATATTTAGAGTGAATAATATTAAAATATAATGGAAGGATTTAAAAAGAAGTTGGTTAAATATGAACATTTTTTAAATTCTAATATTGATGATTTAATACATTAGAGTTAAGATATTTCGCTTTTTAATAATTAAATGAGTATATTGGATAATGAATAAATTAATAATAATCAAATTTTTTAAAAATAGTAAGAATTAGTATAATAAAAAGAATATATAATATAATAATAAAGTAATTAATAATAATATTAAAATTAATAATAATAAATATAATTATAATAATAATAAAAATAATAATAGATTTGTCAAATATAATATTTACCTTTAGATTTTTATAAAATAAAAAATATAATTAAATTAAATAATAACGATTAATTATCTATTAATATATTATAATCTTTAAGATGGAGAATTACGAAAACTAAAAATGGATTGATGAGAAGAGTAGTAGTTATATCTTATACTATAAATGATATATTAGGAGGAAAAAATAATGACATAATTTTATAATAATCAATTTTTTATTCTTAAAATGTAAAAATTATCGAGTAAAATATAATTCTTATTTATTTTATTTAATTCTTTTAAATAATTAATTAAAAGGTATGGATTAAGACTGACAAATGCAATAGCTTCAGATTTTTAAGGTCGAACTTATTTAGTTGAATGCCCTAATCTAATAAAAATATTAATCCGAATACTCAAAAATGAAAATGATGATAATTGCACAAGAAGAAATGCACTAGGTGCTTTATAAAAACTTTCCTTAAGGAGAACATGTCAATTAATTATGATAGAAAATGATGTAATAGAATGGATAATAAAAAAACTAAAATATGTAAAAAATATTTATATATATATATATATATATATATATATATATATATATATATATATATATATATATTTATATACATATGCATATTTATTTTCATATTTTTACATATAATTTTATTTATTTTCTGAGGATAAAAATCTTTTAAGTGAATATAGTTATGAATATGCAACTGCTTTATTTATGAACTTATCTTTAAGGACATTAGGAAAAGATAAATGCTAATAAAATTCTGTCGAAGTTTTATAAGTATTATATTCTTTATTAGAACATAATAGTTAATAAGTTCGAACATTCGTAAACGGAACTTTATATTCATTATTAAGTAGATCTGTATTAAAAGAATAAGCTAAAAAATTAAATTTTTTATAATTTTTAAATTACTTGAAATTAAATTCAAACGAAATATTTTATAAATAAATATAGTAAATATATATATATATAAATAAAATTAATTTAAATTTTAATTAGATATATAATAGATTAATTATAAAGTGATGATTATAATGAAGAAAATAGCATATCTGATTAAGAAGAGGAAAACAATGAAGATGATTTTGAAAACGAAGAAATTGATGAAGAAGTAGATGGCTAAAAAAATGAAGAAGATGAAGAAGACGATGAAAAAACGAATAAATTAATACTGATTATTTAATTGGAGAAAATCTTCTTTTATAAAATTTTATCTTAAGAGGTTAAGAAGCTTTAAAACAAAATAAACAAATAAGAAATGTAATAGATGAAAATAAAAAGACTAATATGAATATTTATAGTTATTAAAAATAAGAAAAAGAAACTATTATGTTACCCAATTCACCTTCTTTAATAATCAGTTAAATTTTAGAAAATATAAAAGATAATAATATAAACAAAATAAATAATAATAAATTAGATTAAACATAATAATAATAATAATAATAATAATAATAATAATTATAATAATAATAATAATAATTATAACAATAATAACAATAACCATAACTATAAGAAATTAAATAATTAGATAAATAAGTAGTATAAGATTTCTAAGCATTTGAGCCTAGACCAAAAATTTCGCGTACACCTTCTCCAAAAATAACTTTATGATTAATTTATTGTAATAACAGATTTAAAAATTTAATAAATAATATATTGTATTATTTTTTATTAAAAAAAATATCTTTTATTTTTATTTTTTAAATATATCTATATTTTATATATATATAAATTTTTATTTTATAATAAAGAAAAAAAAAAAATGAAATTATACTTAATATAAATTTAATTAAATATTCATATATATTTTTACATTTTTTTAATAAAAAGTATAAAAATTCATTAATATTTTATATTTTAAATTAATTAATAAATATAAATCTTTGTTAAAAAAATAAATATATATATATATTTATATTTATTAAATAAATAAAATTTTCAATTTCTTTTTAATGAAAAATCTAATTATTTAGATTTACTGTAAGAATTTTTTTAAGTACTATAATTATTGAAAGAATTTAAATAATTTTATTTTTTAGTACTTTTGAAATTATTTTCATCAAAAACTTTACTAAAATTAATTTTATCATTAATGCTTGTAATAATTTACTTTTGATTAATTTCTAAAGATTTTCTATTCTTATTTTTTTACAATTTAATTTATTATTATTATTATTATTATTATTATTATTATTATTATTATTATTATTATTTATTATTTTTTTGTATTTCATTATTTTTATTACTATTTTAATTATTATCTTATGTTTTTAAATTATTTTATACATTTATATTGCCTATACTATTTTTTTCTAAAATCCTTTTACTTAATAGTTATTTTCCTTATTATTATTTATAAAGTTATTATTCATTTTATTTCCACTTAAATTTTTTTTAAAAATGACCCTTTTTATGTTTCTTATTTTTTTTACTCCTAAAGGTTATTATTTCTACTTTTTATTGAAAGTTTGCTTTTACTTTGAACATTAGATGATGTAATGGGACGTTTTTGTTCTAATACTTGATAATTTTTAGGTGAATAGCAAGGAGACATGAATCTTTTTTTTTCCTAATTAATAGCTATAGGCTAATTTTATTAATATTAATTATTAATATCTTAATTTTTATTAAGGTTTTTAGTTGAATAGCTTATTTATCCTTTAAGGAAAGATTTAATAATTGAATTAGAATCTATAATGGTATTCTTAGGAAGGTCTAATTATTGTTTTTTTCCAAAACTTTATTCTGTTTTAGTCCTTTATTGGAAATTTTATACTGTTTTATTTGTAATATTATTTTCTTGTGTTTATTATTTCTCTTTATTTAAAAATTAATTATCGAAAAAGCTATTAGAAAATTTTAAAGAAGAAGAACTAATATTGTTATTATTATTTTAAATATTTAGAATATTGGTATTCTAATTAGAATAGTTATCATTATTTAAATTTAAAAAATTATAATTATTTAAATTTAATCCATTATTATTATTATTATTTTAGTTAGTAAATTAGTTAATATTACTTTAAAATTATGTATTATTATTGCATTATAATTAATTAAGATAAATATTATTTTAAAATTAAGAATTATTACTTAAAAATTATTATAAATTAATATTAGACTATTAAATATTATCGAACTATTATTATTTATTAGATTTCGATATACTTTTTTAGTTTGAATTCGAATTAATATTTAGTTTATTTTTCGATATTTAATTATTTTTAACTTATTATTTTTATAACAAATTAGTATTATTTCTAACATTTTAATTTAATTAAAAATTATTGTTAAAATATTATTAATTATAATTGTTATTAACATATTATTATACCTATTATTATTGTTATTATTGTTATTGTTATTATTATTATTATTATTATTATTATTATTATTATTATTAAATATTATTTTAACAATTTTATTGTTATCTTAAAAACTATTTTAACATAAACTATCTTATTTTTTTTAACATTCTACAATATTTGAATATCCTAGTTTATTTTCTTTTTAATCTTATAAATTTATCCACAAAAGATCTTTCGAATTTTCATTAACGAAATAAAAGAATTAAAATAAATTCTCATTTCTTTCCTCTTAAAATTAATTTTCTTAATCTAAATCTTAATTTTCTTCATTTTAAATATATGGTAATTCAACGTTTTTAAACTCACTATGAATATACGAAAAATTTAAATCAATTATAATGGGTACTTAACCTTTCCTTTAAATAATCATTCCCCAATCTACATCTTAAAGCCATTAACATCTTTTTATTTCTTTAAAACTTTTTAGTCTTTAACCTGGAATTTTATTTAGTAAATGAAATAGAAGCATCCTTAAATCACCATCTAGCCATTCTGGTACTTCTAATTCCTATGTAGCAATATTACTTAATATTTATTCAGTATTCTAAGCATAAAACGGCGGTAATCCAGTAACCAATTCATACAAAAAAGCTCCTAAAGTGTAAAAATCAACTGAATAATTATACCCTTGTCTTAAAAGTACCTCCGGAGCCATATATTCAGGTGATCCGCAAAAAGAATCTGTCATATCATTTTTTTACATACCGATTTTAGACAACCCGAAATCTGTTAATCTTACATGACCTTCTATATCTAGTACTATATTTTCAGGTTTAAGGTCTCTATATAAAATTTTATGTTCATGTAGATACTCAAAACACATCAAGATTTCTGCGAAATAAAACTTTGCTTCATTTTCGGTCAATTTTCTATTTTAAAGATGAAAAAAAAGCTCTCCTCCGCAATAAAATTCGAGTAGAAAATTTAAATGATTTTCAGATTCAAAACATGCATGTAAATTGGCTATAAAAGGTGCTTTTTGGGCATCTATGAGTATTTTTCGTTCCCTTAATAACTATTCTAGTCTTTTGTATTCTGATAAATGACTTTTTGCTATCATTTTTAATGCAAAAAGCTTTCCTGTTTATTTATTTCGTACTAAAAAAACTTCAGAAGTACCACCTTTTCCAAGACATTTTAAAAAACGAAAATCTTTTATATTTAAATATTATTAATTTTATTATTATTAAGTTTATTTTTATTTTTTAAGAGATTAAAATATTGGTTTTAAATGTATTTTTTCATTTATGTTTTATATAGGAGAATTTATTTGGGTTAAATAATAGTCTAAAACTTCATTTTCAGATATTGTTTCTAAACATATAATTTATTTTTTCGTTTGCTTTTGTATTTTTTGAATTAGGTCTTGTATTTTGGAATCTCGAGGGATAGTTATTTAGATTGGAGATTCTGGAGTTAAAAAGATTGTATAGGTTAGGTCTTTTTTAGATAGGAACATGTTTTTTGTGTGTGTTTTTTTTATTTTTTATATATTTTTTTAATTTGTTTATTTTTTAAATTTTGTTTTTTAAATTAATTATTAAAACAATTTTTTTAAAAATAAATTTCTTTCGTACATATGTAAATAGTAGTTTATTATTATAAATGTTTTTTTTTTTTTTTTTATGTTTTTATTTAATAAGTATTAAAATTATATATATATTTATTTCTTTTTAAAATAGTTTTATTTAATAAACTGTTTTTTAAAATTAAAAATATAATACAATAAACAAATAAATTTATTTAATCAAATTATTTTTATTTCAATTTATATTCTTTATTACTAATTATTTAAGTTTATAATTATTAAAATAAGTTATATTTTTAAAAATTAATTATTATTAAAATTGAGTTATATTTAAATAGATGTTATTAAATAAAAGAAAAAATCCTAATAATCCTATAAATTTAATATAAATTTATATATATATATATATATATATATATATATATATATATATAATTATATTTTATATATTTTTTGTCAGAGACTGAATTTGATCATCGTGTTTTTACATAGTAAAAACACTCTTCTCAAGAGGTGTCAGTTGTTTCATCAAAATAAAAAAAAATTATATTAATTATATTTATTTATATTACTTTTGAAAATTTATTTTAAAACTCTTTCTAATTTTTTAAGGATAATTCTTTGTGCAAATAAAATTAATATTAACAAAAGCCTTAAAATATTAAAATAAAATTAATATGATTAATTGTTTAATAAATTTAATAATATATTTTAATTATATATATATATATAATTAATCAGGCAGCTAAGGGTTTTGTAATCAATTAAAATTATCAGAAACTCTAGTCAAATAATATCATCAGATTATTATTTTTATATATATATTATGATTATAATGTTATTACTTTTTTTAATTAGATTAGACAAAATAAAATAATGTTTTATTTATTAAAGAAATAAGTATTTTCTAACATTCTGTATTTAATATTATTAAAATAAATATATATTTTTATTATTAATAAGTAAAATTTATAATCAGTTAGTTGTAAATTTTCCTCAATTTAAAATTTTGGAGAGATTCCACACAATGATACATCAAATTATAATTATTATTTTTATAATTTTTTTTTTAATTTTACCTATAATTAAAAAAATAAGAATATAAAATAATATTTATATTATAATTATATATATATAAATCAGTTAGGAGCGAAAGAATTTACATCAATATTAAATTCAGATGACTACAAATCATCAGTTAAATATATATTTTATTTATATATTTTTATTTATTTATAAAATACCTTAATAATTTCAATAAAAGAAACAAATAATTAGATTAATTAACGAGTAAAAAAAATATCTTTAGAAAAAAAAGATTTTTAATATTTATAATAAGAAAAATATATTTATAATTTAAATCAGAGATCTTGGTGGTAAATCGTCATACTCTTAAAAAGAGTCAAGAGTAGCAAATATATTGTCATCATATTATATTATAATATATATTATGTATTTATATATTACCTATTAATATGTAAAATAAAATAAAAATATAGTTATTAATTATAATAATTTAATATTTAATAAATATATTCAGGTCCATAAGCCTATAACCAATGCCGTAGCGTATTACTGGGGCGGCTAATTAGTCATCAATAATAATAATATATATATAATATATTTATATTAATATATATATATATATATATATATTTATAATTATTACCTTTATTTATAAAGAAGAATCAACTTAGTCTAGTTATTAAATAAGATTTAAATAAACTTTTATAAGTAATATTTTTAATATTATTAATTTTATTAATAATTTATTATTTTTTTATATATTATTATTATTATTAATTTTATAACATTAGTTTATATAGTATTTCCATTTATTTATATAAAATCTATTATTATTTATATTATTAATTTTTCTAAAATTATTAAAGATTATTAGTTTATTGATTATTTTATGATTATTGTTATTATTGATTTTATTATTATAATTAATTTTTATATATTTTTATTAAACTATAATCAATAATATAAAGTTGTTAATATAAATTATTAATAAGAAATCTTTAAAAATATATTATTTATTCTTTCTATTATTTTAAAAATAAAATTAAAATATAAGTAAATTATTAAAGTTTTATAAAATTATTTTAATAATTATCTCTTATTATATTTGCTCTGACAAATGCCTCATTTAGAATCACGGAAAACAGAAAAAAATCAAATTTTAATCAAAAAAACTTTGAAAAAAACATGACAATTTTCCAGTCATTCTCGTCATCGTTTCTTCATCGCAAATATTTTTTATAAGATTAAATTATTATAATTATAATATTATAAGATAAATTATTATATTATAATTAACATTAATAATATATATAAGTATATATATATATATATTTAATGTATATATATATATATATTTATATATAATTATTTTAAAAAAAATATTTTTATAAATTATTTATTAAAAATTATATAAAATATTCAGTTTGCAGTTAAATGTAATCAAATTTACATTATTAAGTGTTGTTAATATTTTTCATCTTAGATTTTACATAGATTTTTTAATATATTATTATATAAAAATACATTTTTTTTTCGTTTTCAATTTTTTGAGTGTATCTTAGAAAAAAATTATAAAATCAGACAATAAATCATTCTAATTATTAAAGATGATTAATAAAAAAATAAGATTATATAATTTTATATAGTTATATATATAATTAATCAGAATGGTAAGTAAAATTTCTTCAAGCTGTTTTCAGCAGCAGAACTGGTATGTTACATCATAATATATATATTTTATATAATTTTTACTTTTTATTCGAAAGATTTTTTTTTTTTTTCAAATAGTTAATTTAAAGTTCAATTAAGTTTTTTAAAGTTATATCATTCTATAGAATATGTTTTTAAAAGATGATTATATTCATATTTTATTATAATTTTTATTAAAAATCACATTTTTTGTATTTGAAATATATCTTTTATAAAAATTTAATAAATAAAAAATATTTTTTTTATTAATATTAATATAATTTTTTATTTTTATTTATTAAATATTTCAGTAAGCCATGTTTGACATCATGATTTCAGACGGTAATTCCAAAATTGTTAACATCATTATTTTTTTTTATTTTTTTATATAAAATTACTTTTTAGTGAGGAATTTTATTATTTATTAATACTTTAGTTTTCTCTTTTTTATATTTTAGAATTATTTTTATTTTTTATTAATTATTTATTTTATTTCATTATTATTTTTATTAAAAATAAGATATAAATAAATTAAATTTAATCTTTTTTAATTTGTACTTTTTATTTATTATTTTATAAATATTTTTAGTTTATATTATTTTTATACTTCTTTTTTTTAAAAAAATAAGTTATTAATTTTTTTTTATAATTATCTGTAAATATTTGCAGTCGTTTTACTTTTAAACGATAAAAACTTCTTTTTGTGTATATTTTATTATATAAATAAAGTTTATTTTTTATTTCTCTCTTTATTCTTTTTATTTATAAAAGCAAAAAATAAAAAATATAATATAATTAATCCTACGAAATAAAATAATTTGAAATACTTAATAAATTAAAAATAATAAAATTTATTTAAAATAAAATTTTATTAGAAATAGTTTTTTTATTTAAAATATTATAATTATAAATGATTAAATAAAAACTTATTGAAAATTTTTAATATTATAACAAAAAACAGTTAATGTAAAAGTTAACTAAAATCATGTAAATTAATATAATAATATATATATCAACTTAATAATAAAAATAAATATATAATAATTAAAATGATTATTAACATGGTTATAATACAATGTAAAACAAATTCTAATAAATATATATATACATTTTATATTAATATAAAAAATAAAATTAATTAACAAAATGAAATAATTAAATAAACCAGCACATTATATTGACTAAAATTTATTTAAATAATATATTTTTACGAAAGTATTTTAATTTAAACAAAAAATCAATTTAAAAAATTTTAGACTTTAGATTATCTTAATATATTCCTTATATAATTAAAATAATTTTCAAAAAGTAAAATAAATAAAAATTAATATTCAAGAGATATTAAAAGTTAATAAAACCATATTTTTAATTGAAATATAATAATTATATATTAAAATCAAAAACACTAATTTTATTAAGCCCTAAAATATTTTTATTTTAAATTTTTAAATTATTCTTATTTTAATATAAAATATAGTTAAATTAATTATTTATTAAAATAAAAATATTTTATTATATTTTTTTTAAATTTTGGATTTGTTTATAATATATATAAAAGAAAAAAAATAATTAATAAAATAAAATAAATACATTTTATTTATTTCCAAGTAAATATTTTTTCTTGAATTTAATATTTAAATTTAAAAAAATAAAAAATATATATTTATAATATATAAAAATTACATTATGTAGTGTCAAGAACTTTGGACAGAAATTATAGTAATAAAAATATAAATAAAAAAGCAATATTGAAAATTAATAAAAATATATAATAATAGCCTAAACCATCAGATCCCAATTCAAATTTAACAAACCAAGTATGGTGTACTTGTTTTAATAATGGTAAAATAAACATAAAAAATATAAAATATAAATCTAAAAATAAATAAATAGACGGTACAGTTGTATTAGCATGTGTAGGTGATGCAATTTTAGCTTATGACGTGTAATCTGGCGAAATGTTAAATAAACCAATAAGAGGAGGTTTTTATAAAAAATCATAAAAAAATATAAATAACATTAAAAAAAAAAAAGCACAAAAAGAATAAATAAATTGTATTAGATTTTCAAAAGATGGTAAAAGATTTGCAACAGCAAGGTAAAAATAAAAATCTAAAAAAACCATATTTTTATCAAAAAAAACTGAATAAACAAAATAAAAGTAACGACAAAACTGTATGGATATGGAAATTCGATATTTAATAAAATCCTAAAATTTCCGCCGAAGTGAAATATTCCCATAATGATAAAGTCTATTGTTTATCTTTCAACCCTTTAACATAACAAATATTTTCCGGCGGTATAAACGACTACTCAGTATGGACTCCAGATCAAGCTAATATCGAAAAAGGTAAATATAAAGATAAAATAATAACCTGTGCATGGAGCGCGGATGGTTTATATATTGCGTTTGGTACTATGTCTGGTTAAATATGTATCAAAAACCGTTTAATGGAAATAAAAGCTGAAATAAACCGAAGCGCACCAATTTGGTGTATGGATTGGACTCCTGTAACTCCTGATTTTTAAGACAGTAATTTATTAGTAGGTGTATGGGAAGGATGCTTAAGTTTTTATAATATATAGGGATAATAATTAGGTAATGATAAAAAATTGGGATTTGATCCACTAGATATAAACTTCAGTTCATAAGGAGAATTTTATTTAGTTTCCGGAACAAATAAAAAAAGCACACTTTATACAAGAGATGGGGGATTCCTTATTGATGTAGTTTAGAAAAATGACTGGGTTTGGAGTGGAAAATTTAAACCGATAGTTAAATAATTAGGAGGGGTTAACAATGATTAACTTTATGTAAGTTTTTCCACTAATGATGGTGTTATTGGAATATCGAAAATCTAATAGTTGACAGTACATGGTTTATATAAAAATAGATACGCCTATAGAGATAATTTAACTGACATAGTAGTATAAAATATGAGTGTTAATTAAAAAATAAGAATAAAATGTAAAGAACTAATAAAAAACGTAAGTATATATAAGGAAAAATTAGCTGCTCATTTAAGCGAAAGAATTCTAGTTTACGTTTCTAATTCAGATGATTCTTAACTTAAATATAAACTTTTAAAAAGAATGGTAAAAAAAATAGATGCCTAAATTATGGAAGTACTCACTTCTCATATTTTAGTAGCTATCAAAAATAAACTTTAAATTCTTTAATTTTCAGGAGATTTGGAAAGGGAATGGATTTTCGATTCAACAATTAGATCAATAAAAATTCTTGGAGGAATGTCAGGAAAAGAAGGGGCTATAATTGGACTGAAAAATGGTTAAGTTTATAAAGTAATGAATTTATAAATATATATATATATAAAAATATATATATTTATATAAATATTTATATATATATTATTTATATATTTATATATTTATATATATCTATTTTATACGTTTTTTTTTTAAGATTTTTATAGATAATAGTTTCCCTATTTAGGTTATTAATCTTAATGTACCAATCAGAATGATTGATATTTCATAAAAAAAGAAAAAAATTGCAATCGTTGATGATAATAACAATTTAACTGTTTATGATGTTTTCTAGAAAGAATAAATTTATTAAGAAATGAATGTTCTTTCTTGTGCATTTAATTATGATTTTGATGATATGTTGACTTATTCGTAAGATTTATTAAAGTTTTACTTTTATTTAAATTAATTTTTATCTAAAAAAAAATAGAGGGAATGATATGACATTTATAAAAAGTTCTGGTCATCCACCTTTATCTTAAAGAATGTCAGGAAATGTAGTTGGATTTAAAGGAAACAAAGTATTATATTATTTTTAAACTAATAAAAAAAAAAAAAAAAGTTATTTGTATTAAATGAAAATGTATTAAGTACTATTGACATATCTATGACTTAAACAATGTTAAAATATTTAGAAAAAAAAGATTTTTAATAAGCTTATGAAGTAGCTTTATTAGGAGTTACAGACGCGGATTTATTACATTTAGGAAATGAGGCATTAATAGCCAGTTAATTTATGATAGCTAAAAAATGTTATGTTAAATTAAAAAAGCTTGACTTTGTATATTTACTCGAAAGGGCAGAAAGGGATAAAATAAAAAATTAATTTAACGAAAGTATATATTAAGGGGAACTTTTTGCCTTATAGCAGAAATTCCATGAGGCTGAAAATGCATTTGTAAAAGCCAACCAAAGATAAAAAGCAAAAGAAATGTATATTACTTTAAAAGATTTCACAAAAGCAAAAAGAGTCGCGAATTCTGAAGTTTTAACTCCCTAATCTAGATAAGGATAAAGATAAGGCTCACCCAAAAACGATAATGGGTTTGTGTAAGAAAAAAGCAAGGAATTAATTAAATAAGAAGCGGAATGGAAATAAAAAACTGGAGATTGGAAAGAAGCTGGTGAGTTATTTGTAAAAGCAGAAGAATATAAAAAAGCCATTGAAATTTTTATCAAAAATAATTATGTAGAAGGATTACTTGATGTATCAAGGATAGCTGATGTGGAGACTTAGAGAAAAGAAATTGAAATATGTGTGGCATATTTTAAGTAAATTTTATATTATAAATAATATGTATATATGTATATAAAAAATTAGAAAAAATAAACATCATTAATAGGCTAAAGAAGTATTTTTAAAACTCTAAGATAATAAATAATTAATGTAATTACATATAGAACTTGAAAAATGGGAAGAAGCATTAGTTTTAGGTATTTTTTTATTTAAAAAAAAAAAATTATATAAAATTAATATTAATTTTTTTTTTTTTTAAATAAAAAAAAAAAACTAGCAAAGTCAAACCCCGAATTACTTGAATTAGTAAAACTTCCTTACGCAAACTGGCTTTCCAGACAAGATAGATTCGAAGAAGCCTTAAAAGCATATCGAAAAATCGGATAATCTGAATATTCGACAAAAATGCTACAAAAATTATCACAAAACGCAGTTTACGAGAAACGATTTACAGATGCTACTTTATATTTTTGGATGATATCCACTGAATATTTAAACTTAGTAAAAAATGGAAAACAGCCTTCTTTAGAAGATTAACAAAATATTAAATTATTTTAACAATACAGAGAGTATGCTTAAATATATTTCGCTTATTCTAAAATCCATTAATTTGTAGAAGAACCATTTTTACCACTAAGCGGTCATTAATATATGTTAAATATATTCAACGCAGCCCGATTTGCCATAAATAAATTAGGAAATCGAAGCTTATATGGAGTAAAGCATTCATATTTATATTATTCATTAGGTAAAGTAAGTAAATAACTTGAGGCATACAAAACAGCACGTATTTGTTATGAAAAACTTGCAGGGTATAAAATCCCTTCAGATTGGACTGAAGAAATAGAACTTAGTAGTTTACTTGTAAGATCAAAAGTATATAGCGATGCTGAAAATTTATTGCCTATTTGTAGTAGATGTATGAATTAAAATCCTGTACTTACTGAAGGGAATAAATGTTCTTCGTGTTTGCATTCGTTTGTGAATTGCTTTTTATCTTTTGAGAATTTACCAGTTGTTGAATTTAAAGTTAATTAAAATATTAATCATAAAAAAGTTATAGAGTTAATTAATTCTGATAAATCTAAAATTCCTAAAACTTAAAAAAAAAAAAAAGTGTAAGATATAAAATATTTATTTTATATGAATTATATACATAATATATATACATATATATATATATATTTATATTTATATATTTATTATCATTTTATTTAATATTTTTATATTAGTGATGACGGATGGTAAGAAAATAATTTAGGCGATTAATAAGTTCTTACTTTTAATTAATCCCCAAATAAAAATAATGTTGAAAATAGTGCATTTATTGATAAATTATAAGAAATATTTGAAATGTAATAAACTACTTAAGAATATATTCCCTTATAATTAGATGAATAAGTATTGTGTACTTTAAATATGGATGAAGTTTATTGTGTTGATTTTACTAGATATTGTTTGACTTATGATATTACTTATTATAAATCTATGAATAATGATGTTCTTTTGAAAGTATGTAATGAATGTTGTAGCTTTTTTATTTTAGTATCATATTTTTATTTAATATTATTTCCGTTTTATATATATTTTTTATTAAGGATGAATATGAATTCGAATTTATTAAAAATGGTAAATGCTCTTTCTGTAGAATTGCAGATGAAAGAACTGGTGTTTAAAAAGATATTTTTGATTTATGAAAAAAAAAAATATTTCTAAAATAAAAAAAATATATATATTTTTTTTTTATAAAAAATTAAATATAATTATTTTTTTTAAAAAAAATATTTTAAATGACTATTTTCTTTTTATTCAATTATTCAAATAAAATTAAATTTTATTATATTAATATTAAAAAAAAAAATGTAAATTAATAATAAAAATAAATAATTTAATATTTTTAAAATAAAAAACATTATTAATATTATATTATTTTATAAAAGTCTAATACAATTATTATAAATAAATAATTATATATATATAGATATATATATATTTATATATATATATATATATAATATTTACATTTATATTAATTAAAAAAAAAATTATTTACTCTACTTTTTATTATTTTATTTCTATTTATACATATATATATATTCAAAAAATTATTTAGATAAAATACAAAATCTATATGAATAATTGAATAATATCAGCTAATAATATGTAAGTGAAATATTATATTGTTATTTTTAAATATAATTATTAATCTTAATATTACATCAAATCATTTAAAAACAATCTAAATAATTAAAGAGATAATTTTTTAAATTAATATACCTATAAAAATAGTAGTAATATAAAAATAAATAAACTAATGATACTAAACTAGTATAAATAAGACTTAAATCGATAGAATCTATAATTAAATTTAAAAGAAGTTTTTAAAGAATTCTTTGAAAATAATAGAAAGGTAAAATAATGGTAAGAAATGATAATTAATATAAACTAATTTAATTTTCAATAAAAAAATTAATTAGTTAATTATTAATTTATAAATGGAGAAATCTAAAAAGAATAAACAGAGAAATAAATAGTTTATACTTACAAGATAAATGTTATAGTTTTATAAGATAATATAATTAAAATATAAAAAGATCGAGAATAAAATAAAAAATAAATTATTTTATAATATGATAAAATAAAATTAAATTAAAAAATTAAAAAATAATATTTGTATTAATTATTAGATTTTTATTTTTTGGGATTTTTGAATGCTATATTTATATTTTTAAGTTTATAGTATTTATTAATTTTATTTTTCTTAATTTATTTATATTAATTTTTAATTTATTTCAAAATAATTACTTTATTATATATTTTTTTTCTTATATATTTATAATTTTATGTTTTTTATATTATATATATATTTTTTTTTTCAGTTATATTAAAATCAACAATTATTATTAAATAAATTTAATTTAATTTATAATTTTTTTAAAAATCTATTTTATTTATTAGTAAAATATTTTTATTTTTTTTAAGAAAAAATAAAAAAACTATATATATTTCTTTCAAATATAATTAATCTAAATGAAAGACTAATAATAAAAGAATATAAATAAAAATAATATATTTTTTATTAAATTATAAAGGAGTATTTAAAAATATTTTTAATTTAATTTTATTTCTAATTTTTATTTCTGTATTTATAGTTATTTTAGATTTAATTATAAATTTTTAAAACATAAATATTTAATAAATATATATAAAAGTTTATTAAAGGTATAATTTATTAAATTTTTCTTTATATAGAATATTATTATAGTAATTTTATTAAACTTTAAAAATAAATGTAAATTTTATTAAATAATAATATAAATAATTTTAATAATAGATTTGCGTTTTTATTTAAATTAATTTAAAACAAACTTTATTTTAAAAAACATAAATTATTAAAAATTAAAAAAATATGTCTAAAAAAATATTTAATTTCATTAATTTAAATTATTTTAAATTAAATATTTTTTAAAAATAATAATTTTTTTTTATTTTTAATTAAAAAAAATATATAGCTATATATAATTAAAATTAAAAAAAAATATTATTAAAAATTAATAAAATTAATATAATTAATATTAACCTCAAAAATAATTATTATAAAATATTAAATCTAATAATAAATATATAAAAATAATTTAACTTACATAAATAAAAAAAAAAAATTAATATTTTTAAAAATATTATATTAAAAATACTTATAAATATTTAAAATAAAAAAATAAAATGCTTTGTCATTGTTTTTTTTTATAATTTTAAATTATAATTTTATTTCTCAATTATAAAAATTATTTAAATCAATAATTTTTTCATTTTAATATAATAATATTATAGAACACTTTATATTTTTCATTTTACACTAACTATATAGGATACAAGTAAAAAAAATATAAAAACAAAAACAAAATAATTATTAAATAAATATATATATAAAAAATAAAAATAACAAATATAAATTAGAAAAAAACAGGTATAAATAAATTATTTCATTTAACATTCTTAAATATTTAATATAAAAATTCTAAAAATAAAAACAAATATGGTTAAAAAAGAATTTAATTCTCCAAAAATAAGCTACCTATCTAGAAAAACAAGATCTTCAACTCAAAATAATGTACAAAAAATATAAAACTAAAATAATAATTTGAATCATTTGAAAAAAAATTAACTTAATTAAAAATATAAAAAAGAGAAATACTTAATTTTTGATAATAATATAAAATAAACCTATTTAGAGGTAATATAAAATATTTAAATATAAAAAAATTATATTTTAATTTGAATTTTTATTTTGCTTTGAAAAAACATTCTTAATATAAATAAAATTTATAGTAATATATATATATAAATATAAACATTTATATATAAAAAAAACTAATTAAATTAAAAGAAAAAAAAAATTAATAAAAATAAAAAAAAATAAAGAAAAAAAAAATAAAAAATAAAAATCAAATAAGAAAAAAAAATAACAATTAAAAATTATTAACTTTAAAAATTATTTAAAATTTAAATAATTTATATGTATAAATTTTAAAATAAATATATTATAAATATATATTTATTAAATATAAATATTTATATATTTATATTTTTATATATTAATATATTTTTATATTTATATATTTTTATAAATATTAGGATATAAACTAAGAATCATTATTTTCAGATAATGAATCTACTGCTTCTTATAGATATTTTACACGATCTATAACAAAAGTTAAATAGGAAAATTTTGAAAAAATAAACTCATCACTTTTATAATCAAATCTTCATTCTTAAATTTAATTAAATTTATAATATAAATACGTAAAATTATATGTTATATTTATTTTGTATATTTAAATATATAAAATTTAATAATAAATATATTTATTAAAATATATTATTTTTCAATTATAAATGAAATAATAGTAAATATACATGTGAATATATTTATATTGTTTTTCTAATTTTTTATTAATTATATTTTATTTTCTATTTTTAGAATATAATGAGATTTCAAAATAATATAAGGAAAAAAACATATAGGATTTATTGTTTTGATGAAAAAGATTTAAAAATTGCTTAAGATTTCAAAGATAAAATCATATATAACGTAAAAATTAAAAATCTTTAATTAATTATTTATTATATAATATAAAATTTAAATCTTATAATAATATAAGGAATAAGATGAAGATAAAGAAAGTGATTATGAATAAGTAAAAAACGGAATTAGATATGTATAAAAATCTCTATTACAAGCTGTAGAATAAGAAAAATTATAAATATAATAAATACAATAAAACTGAAAATATTAAATTATATTATTTTTTATATATTTATTAATTTCATTTTTGAAAAAAAATTAAATAATAAGAATAAATAAAAAATGATTTACTATTATAAATATATTTTTTTATATTTTTATTAAATAATTATTTTTATTTAATGTAAATAATAAAAAAAAAATGTATATATATATATAAATAATACAAACATATATTTATTTGAGAATTTATATTACAAAAAATATAATAGTATATTTTATTATTTAATATATATTCTTTTTGTTTTGTATATTAAATTTATTTAATATATTAAATTTTTTATATTATTTATATAAATTAATTTTATTTTTTTATATATATTTAAATTAATAATTCATTATATAAATATTTATTATTAAATTATTGATAATATTATATTTTTTATTCCATTTTTTTTTTTAATATTTTTACTTACATATATTTTTTGTTATATAAATTTTTTATAATTTTTTTTATTATAATAATTTTTAAATTTCTTTTTATTTTTTATTTTTATATTAAATTCCACATTTATATGCTTTATTTATATATTTTTTTTTTATTTATATAGTTGTATGCTATTACCTTTAAATTTTTGAAAATATTAATAATAAATTATAAAATACTTTTTTTAAAAAAATTATATTATTCTATATAAAATAATTTGTTAATACTAATATAAATAATGTAAATATTGTATTTTAGTTATATAAATATTCGTAATTACATTTTAATAAAAAATTATATATAATGTAAAAAATTTTATTTATAAAGAATAAATATGATTTATATGTAATTATAATTTTTTTCTATTCTTGATATAATATTTATAATGCATTTTGTTTATATAGATTATGAATTGTAAAAATTTTATTCTATAAATTTTTTAATAATTTTTATATGCTCTATACAGTATAATAATATTAATTAAATATCAAATAATTTTAATTTATTGTTACAAAGATTTTACAGCAAAGTAAATATTTATAATAAATGTATATTTTATAAATATTCGATAAGATAAAATATATTTTGTTGTTTCAAATGTATAGTTATTTTTATAAAAAGTTATTAATATTTTATAAAACATATACTTATATGCTTTTATAAATTACTATTTTTATTATTATATTAATTTGGAAAAAAAAATTAAAATAAAATATAAATAATAAAGAATATTATTTTTTTATTAAGATTATTTTTAAAAATATTAAATTTTATCATTTAAGTAAATATTACTAATTAAAAGTTAAAAATAGAAGTAATAAAATTAAAAATTTATAATATATTATCAAATAAAGTTTTAAATAATAATGATTTTTATAAATATTACATTCATTATTTAAAATTATATATTTTAGTAAATTTATAAAAAATTTACAATTTTTATTTTATTTTACTTAATTTATATATATTTTATGTATAATAATAATATTAAAATAATAAAGTCTTAATATAGAATATTTATATTATATCATTATAAATATTTAATTAATATAAATAATTTAAATTATATATTTTTTTTTTTATAAAATAAAAAAAGTTAATAAAATTTTAAACTTATATTAAAAATTATAATTATTATTTTAATTAATAATAATAAAATACTATATATAATTAAATTTTATAATATTTTTTATTTTTAGTATTTCAATTGATTTAAAAAAAAAATATATATATAAAAATTAAAAAAAAAAAAAAGATTAATCTATCTATATTATAATTATAAAAAATAAAAATCCCTTATCCAAAATAATAAAGTTATAAATTTAAATTAATAAAATAATAATAATAAAAAAATAAATACAAATACATTTATTTTTTTATTTTTTTTTAAAAAATAAAATAAAACAAAAAATGAATATAGATCTTTTCGAAAACATATTAAGAGATTTCTTCAATTTCTAATCCAAACTAGAAAACCTTTAATTAAATTATACAGACCAATACATATAAAGGCGATAAAAATACGAAAAAGAATACATTCCCAACCTCACAGAAATCAAAGAACTATATTAAGCTGAAGAAAATGCAATTCAAATAACTAAATATATTGATAATTTCAGCTAAAACCTATTAGAATTATATACTTATTTTAAAATAATATAGAATAAGTTGATTAAATAATGTAAATAACAAAATAGGAATAACATTAATATTAAGTATATATTATATATCTATTATTATTATTATTTATTTGTATATTTTAATAGTAATAAATATAAGATATCTAATAATCATTTATAAACCTTTAATAAGAAAAAGATCAAATTGAGAAATAATTATTTGAAAATTAAGATAAATAAGATGAATAAACAGCTCAAATAAATCATTTAAATAAGCTCATTTTACATTATTAAAATGAAATATAGGTTTTATAAAATACTAAATAAAATATTCATCTAGAAAAAAAACTTATTCAAGTTCTTTTCTGTAATAAAATGATGAAATTTATCAAAAAGAGGAGACTAATTAGTAATAACTTACAAAATTAGAACAAAAAACACTCTAAAATGAAAATTATATTGAAAAAAAAGAAGAATAAGAAGAAAAGGAAGAAAAAGAAGAATAATAATAATAATATAAATGTACTGTTTGTATTACCAAAGATGAAGATAATCATAATTTAAAATAAAAAAACAATCATTTGATTTACTAAAAAAATGAATTAGAAATCAAATATTTAAATCTTTAAAAAGAAAACGAATTAAATTTATAAAAAATAGCTTTAATATAATAAGAAAAGGAATATTTAATTAAAACTAAATAATAATTAATTAAATAATTAAAAGAAAATATATTCCAAAATTCAATAAATGATAAAAAAATTAAGAAAGGAATATAAATAGTTAGGAAGATTTAGATAAAATATAATATAAAAATGATAAGAAATATAGTTTATTTAATGAATTGAGTAAAATAAAGACACAAAAAAAAGAAAAATATACAAAAATTAATAATAATTATGAAAATAGTTCTTCAATGTTTTCTCCATTTTAAAATTCAAGGTAAAGTAGTAACATTAAATTTTTATAATAAGCTATTATTATTAATGATTTTACAGCAGTTATAGAATAAAATAATTCTTAAGAATAAAATAATATAGAAAATATATAAGAATGCAAAAAAAAAGAAAAATTATATTAAGATAACTTATTGTAATAATAATAGGAAAATATTAATATAAAAACTGGAAATATTCAAAATTCAAAATAGAAAAGATGGTATGATTTTTTAACAAAATAAATAATTCTATTTATTTTAGTACCTCTTAGCTTAGTTATTAATACTAAAAATTTTAATAAAGAGTGAAATTTTGTATTGAAAATGCATTATAAAACATTATCTGCAATTTTTTGATAGTTTATATAAAAAAAAAAAAATATTTTTTTATTTTATATACTATTGTATAAAGGAAAAAAATATTTAATTAGGCATTTTACAATATAATATGAAAAAATAATATACATATATAAATCTATATATAGATATAAATCTATATATATATATATATATATTTTTATATTT